AATAGGATTGCTTCCTGTGTTCCCCTCATTCCAGTGGGTAAACATGAAGATATTTCCTGTATCTCCCTCATCCAAGTGGGTGAGCAGGAAGACTGCTTCCATACACCCCCAGGCCCTGCTATGAGACCAGCTACTATTACGCTGAAGTACAGATTTCCAGTAGGAAAATACGGGATGGGTTGTTGTAAACTAATTTACGCCCCATGGTTAAATTTTTTTTGAGACAAGGATTTTCTGAATTGCTCAGGTTGGGCTCAAACTTGCGATCCTCCTGCCTCAGCCTCCAGAATTCTGGGATTATAGGCATGTGCTACCCACTTGTAACTTCTGATGAAAGCTGTGAGGTGTGTTAGCTTGCTTATAGTCACAGTGTCTTCCTGAGCAGTGGCACTAGGGACAGCCAGTTCTCTATGTAGCATCCCGCTGCTAGCACCTCATCCATGCAGTGCCTCCGAGATGAGGTGAGGTGCTGCTCACCAGTTTTAAATTTTGCATTTCCAGGATTCCCTGGAACTGGTAATTTTTCCTCTCAGGAAAGACTGCTGATTTTATTTCAGAGCTGCAGTTTTATTCTGATCGTTCAGTTTGTGCCATTTGCTTAAAGCTGTATTTAACCTTACATGGTTTCCAGTCTTTGGGATTTTGCAGCCTTGGTTTGTTTTGCAGATATTTTCAATAGCAAAGATTCAGAATGGTATTACTAATAGGGCCAAAACACATTTTTGACCAAAGCATTCATCAGAAAAAAAATTGGGCTTTATACTCTTATTCCTTACATAGAAGGTGAACCTTACTTTGTAACATAGAGGTAAATGGTATTGAATCAGAAACCTATTGTAACTGAAGTAGAGTCTTGACATCTTAAAATCCAGCTAAGGAGTGAATATTTATGAAGACAGTTCTTTTGAAGAGGCTCCCTCTCCTTTTGACACCAAAAAACATGGCCTAGGGCAGAAGAGCCTGTCTCATTGACTCATGCACAGTGATTTCCTCTCTATTTGAAGATGTCTCTTGTGGCTTTATCTCAGAGTGTATGTTTTGTGCTGTGCTGGGTCTTCATCAGTTCACTCTCTGCCAGGCCCAGCATAGGTTCTCCACATGCCCTGCAGTGATGATGTTTGGAATCTTGGCTGTGGGTGCTCTGAGCTGAGGCAGGTGCACAGAGTGGCTGTAAGTTCATCGCTGGCTTCCAGAGTCCAGGGCACCTAGGAGTGCAGCTTGAATCAGGATGTTTGGAGCAAGATAGTGAGGAAGGGACTGGAGCACTGAGGAGAGTGAAGCCTCGGGATAGGGCCTCTCCTGTGATACATCTGTTTACAAAATGTCACCTTTCTGTAATGTACTGATGCCGCTGGAAAAATTCAAATCTCTGTTTTCACTTTGAGTTTCCTGACTGTTCAGATTATGAATGCAGATCACATCTATGATTTTTCTCCAGGACATGATACTAACAGGAAGCTTTAATTGGTCGCAGTGGAAATAGAGAGTGGAGAACTGATTTTGAGGCTGCCAACTCTGTTCAGCCATCAGTAGACTTAATACCAACCTGCGGTTTGCCTGTAGCTGTTCGAATGTGCTTGTAAATGCTGGATGTAGCTCTGAGCCTGCGCCCTCTGTGGACCTGTGGACTTTTGTCTTTTATTTAGGGCAGGTATGGTTAATCTTCCATCTGGGAGTTACTGAAACATTTTAAATGATTTAATTTAAAGCATTCACAGCGCCTGGCAGGTACAAGGTCATGAGTTCAATCACCAATACAGAAAAAGAAAAAGAATAAAGCATAAATTTTATGATTGTATTTAACAAAATGATTATAGCCAACATATGAGTAATATCTGTCAGGCAATGCCTTTCATGTATTATTTCATTTAGTCCTTTTAAAAAAGCTTTTTATTATTTTATTTAATTCTCAGTTGTGTAGAACACAGCAGAGGAAAATAGTCTGAGTCCATATCATGTCTGTTAAGGGAGAAAGAAGAGAGGAAGGGAAGGAAGAGGGGGGGATAGAGAGGAATGGTGGAGTATGAAGAGAATAAATTCTAACATTAGCTGTTTCACCTTACAGTCATTTTTGCTGGGAGAGAAGGAAAGGATGTGGTAATTAGCCTCACTGGTAAATTTTGAACCAGCTCTGCCTCCTCTGTTTGAGGTTGACCTTTTGTATTTCTCAGTATGTGTATGTTTTCTGGACCGTGGGGGTGATAGCTAGGATACCTCTCCAGATCTCAAATCTAGTTAGACTGGGCTAGGTCCAGTGGTCAGGATTCTGGGTCCTCATCTAGAAGAGTTAGGATGGAGAACACATAGTTCTGCATAGTTTTATCCTTAGCTGTGCTTCACTAGAGAATGTGAACCCAAGACCCAAGTGATGGTCCAAGTGGAACTCGGAAACTGAGGAAAGATTAAGGGTCTGATCGCTGCTAAACTGTGAGCAGGGGGGAGGTCGCGTCTTGGTGTTTGCCTTCTTTCGCCCTGTCCTGCCCTTGGCGCACTTCCCTGGAGCCCAGCATGTGTCCAAGCGAGTTCCCCATGCCAGGGTGAACTTTATCATGTTTGTGGCTCCACCCATCCAACACTGCTAAAAACCATCTTGCTCAGCTTTGGGTCTTTGCCATTCCCTCTGCTGCAGTCTTGTGGTGCCTGTGGGAGGAAGTTGTACCATAGCCAGCAGCTGCTTTTGGTCCTTAGGCAGAATTTTATTCAGAGTCTAGAAATTAGGTGCTTCTTGAGATTGTGCTGTAGGGTCTCAGCTGAATGTGCGGATTATTTGTACATGTCACGAGTGCAGGAACCAGATTGAAACATAGTGATAGCCGGTCCTGTGTACACCTGGATGATTGGATTTTATTGTCGTGCTGCATCTCTGCACATGTGAGAACATGTCCATGAAGCTCTTAAACTGCTCTCTTTGTGAGCACTAAGTCAGATCTCAGGCGCCCTTTTTTCCAGCCATGCAAGTGGCTGTGTTACTGCCCTGATTATTCATCAAGAGACTTGAGCATCAGGGCAGTCAGCATGTGGGGCCGAGGATCTGGGTCCACACCTGTCCCTCTGTGTTACTCACATGCTGCGATGCCTCCGTCTCACAGTCTTCAAAGCTTGCAGCTGGCTGCCATCATTCATTCCTTCATAGCATTTTCTACAGACTTTGAGGGTAGTGATGGTGAACAGTTCAGGTACAATAACTATTTCTTTTATTAAGTTTATTGATACAATCTAGATATACATAATGATTGTATTCATCATAGGGAATTTGTACCTGTGTGTGATGTATCTTAATTCCATTTCTTTTTTTTTTTTTTTTTTTTTGCTTAGTACCCCCTCCTCCCTTCAACTCCTCTTCCCCTCAGGTAAATATCATTAAACTGCAAAGTTAAAAATCACTTTGGTGGATGAAGTTATGAAGTTGGTTTTTTTGTTTCTTTTTTATGGTACTGGGAATTGAGGCCAGGGCCTTCTCTAGCCCCCCCCCCCCGAGTTTCCCAGGCTGTGCTTGAACTTGGAATTCTCTTGCCTTAGTCCACCCACAAAAATGAGAGCAGTATGATGGTACGTTATTCAGCCCCGCATTTTATAGTTGTTTAGTAAATTACCAACAAACAATAGTCAGTAGCCATTATTACTTTGCTTCTAGATGTGGTCCTGTTCTGAAGGGTATTGTGTAGAACCTTTCTACAGTGGGCAGAGCAAGTGTGGAAGTGTGGGCCTCCGAGCTTTGATACTGTTTTCTGTGTTGGTTTAAATGTTAGAGTAGCAAGAGGGAGATTGAGGCAGTTAAACAGGCATTAAGTGTTATATAGTTTCACTTGTGAAAAGACACCATGTAAGCAAACAGAATGACAAGGAGTGACGGCTTCTTGTCAGTGTATTCTGGGTAGGGCTCATGGAGCAGGGGTGATTTTTTTTTTTTAAGTGCAGGAGTTTTGTGCTATCTGTTGAAATTAAATTAATAAGCTCATGGAGCATCCCTGTTATCCCAGCATTTGTGAGGCAGAGGTGGGAGACTTGCTTGGGCTGGGATTTGGACACCAGCTTGAATGATAGAGTGTGACAATGCTTCAAAAGAAAAGAAAGTAGTTGATGCAGTAAAATTTTGTTTTATTTTATTTTGATTTCTAGGCAGTCTTCTTCTATGATTCAGGATGGCCTTGAATTCACTGAGTACCCCAGGCTGCCCTTGAACGAACTTGCAGCAGTCCTTCTGGTGCAATAAAACTTTAATGTCTACTGTGGTCTTCATTTCTATGAGTATTTAATGTTGAAAAGTATCTTTTTAGAGAGTACTGTCATATATGATTTTTTTTTTTTTTAGCTTTTTGAGACAGGCTTTCAGTATGTAGTCCAGGCTGGCGTTAAACTCATTGTGTAGCTCAGGCTGGCCTCGAATTTACAGTGATCCTCCTGCCTCAGCCTCTGGAGTGCTGGGATTACAAGCACGAGCCACACCCCTGGCTGCCACTTTTTTTTTTTAAATGAAACCAAGAAGTGCTTATTCTGTGCTCCAGGAGAGCCCCAATTTCCTTCCTGCTCATCCACAGAATGAGGACGGATGCTGCTTTTTAATTTAAAAAATAATCTGTGTTTTCTTGGAGAGAAAAAGAAGTATAAACAATGCCCTAGACTATTCATCTCATAGTTTGTTTTCTGATTTGGAGGTGCTTGTGAAAATCTTGGTTATCTGGGAAAAGTATTAAATTACTATTTTAGTTAATAACAATAAAGCCTTATTCCCAAAGACTGAGAAACATGTTGACATTGTTAGGAATTTAAAAATACATTTTGAAAAAAGGAATTTGAATTACTTTGAAGTACTTCAGTGTTTGTAAGTCTTAAATTTCTCCTATTACTCTTCCTTTTGGTACATTAATGGGAACAGACTGGACCTGTAACTAAGAAAACTTGTCTACTTTGTTTAAAAACAAAAATCAAAGATGATTGCTGGCTTTGTGTTGTTGAAGTTTTAATAACCCTTTAACACTCTTGTCCTTTTATCCCTGCAGTATGCTGAGACGGTGAACATGGACTTTTCTCGACTGCACACATATACCCCACCCCAGTGTGTGCCGGAGAACACCGGCTATACCTATGCACTCAGGTGAGCACTCAGGTGGGGTGCAGTTTGGGTTTGGCCCAAGGCTTGCCCTTGAGGCCAAACCTTCCTCCTGTGTGCAGACCTGCGGGAGTTTCAGAGTGCCACCAGATCTGTGTTCTGTCTTAGAAAGTGAAAAACCCTCAGCCTTATGTTGCATTAAAACTGCAGCACTGCTGAGCCTACACAGAGGCTGTGTGGTTGCTCTGAAGACCACACATTTTTGTGTCAGTGCCTCTGGTGACACAGATGTGAGTCACTGCTAGTGATTTGCTGCTTGAACACCAGCCACAGACTGTGATTGTGGGGACAAATAAGTGGTGGGGCTGGTTTTTTGTGATTTTATCCAGACGGCTTGGTGTTTCTGAGTTGACAGAAATAACGTCAAAGAATATTTTGAAAGACAACGGTTTCAAGAGCATGACTTTGATCAGCTGCCATTTTGTGTGTCTGTTTATGGTCTGATACCCTAAAATTTAAAATTTGAGTTCTAATTTGACCTGCCATGTTAAATAGAAAGGATGACTGAGGTGGAACTCCATACATACAGTGATGGCATCATGCCAAACGGAGCTCTGTTACTAGGTTGATGAGGATGTGCCTGCAGGTAGAAAAAGCTGGGCTCCTTGGCACGATACCTAACGGCACGCAGAGAGAGTGCTTATATCATCTTACAGTGGCTTATCTTCTCAATGGTGCAAACGTAAGGAAACCTTAAGAAAATTAGAAAGCTTTTTAAAAATACTTATTAGCAGTGTTTGTTCGGATCTCACATTTGACAGTTGAGCTTCTATTCATGATTCCAGGCCCCGTCATCTCTGCCCAGGGACGCATTCTGTCTCTGTGAGGAGCTCTCGAGTGTCATAACAGACTGATTGGCCAGCTCAAGTGAAGTTGCTCCCTGTTCCTGCTGTGGAGCATAAAAACAGTTATTCTTGGTAATTTATTTTTAGCTTTTATGACCCATTTTAAGTATAGTTTTTTAAAAAATGCTTATCCTAGTCTATATAGCGGGAAAGTTACACTAAATAATTTTATTGAAATCACAGCCTTTCCTCAGTCAGACCTGTGGATAAAGCAGGTGGGCAGGAGTTGACCGGGTGTGGTGTCCTAAGCTGTGTTGGAAATTTAAGTTTTATTTAAGGGAAGTGGGAAGCATGTAGTTTCAATCCAGGAGACTGTGTTTCACCCCAGAACTGTGTCTTACAGAACAGTAAGACTAATGGTGGCGAGGAACAGGCTGGGTGAGGGTAGGCTGGAGCAGGGATGTCAGCCGTGCAGCAGAGGTTCAGGAGGGGAAGTGAGTGGAAAAATGTGGGGGCTGCTGGGATTGGAGCTGAGAAGTGGAGAAGGTGGGGAGAAGTTGACCAACAACAGAAGACTCAGCAGTTAAGCTAGATAAGCAGTCATCGGTATGTAGTGACAGGCCCCCAAGGGTAGGTAAGATTGCCACTCACCAAGGGACAGCAAGCAGGGCAGACAGAAGAGAGGAAAGATGGGGGACTGGGACTGGCAGAGAGAGCCAGAGCAGGCTTGACATGGGCCTTGATGTGGCCCCAGGGCCCTGTGTCAGCTGCCAGTGTCCCATGCTCACACAGTGTCTGTGTTAGTCCTTTTATTTTCTGCTGTCCTATTGCCAGCCTCTGCTCTAGAAGCTCCTTGTCTTCTGTCTGGTTGGGAGCCTGGTCACCAGGCACTGCTCCTTCCCCACCTGCAGGTGGGGGGCTCATGTCCACACTCTTGCAGTAACACTTCACCTCAGGTTCCAGCACTGCCCTTCTGCTAGTTCTTAGCAAGTTCAGTGAACACATGATTTTCTAACATTCTTGTCACTCTGCGTGTTTAAGTTTTTTTCTTGTAGAAGATGTCTCACAATGTGAAATTCAAAGTATAGCAAGAAGCCTGTTTGCCTGACCAAGACTTATTCCATTCTCCATGCGTTATTCTAAATAACCAGCCAAAATATCAGCATTACATCAAAACTCCAGGACAGTAATTTTACTTTGTTTCATTTTGTTTATTTATTTTTGTGTGTGTGACAGGGTCTCCTTATGTAAGTCAGGCTGCCCTCAAGCTCAGTAGTTGTCCTTTTGACTCATCCTCCGAAGTGCCAAGATTATAGATGTGTCCCAGATAGTCAGCCCCAGTAAATTTAAACAGGTCCTTAATATCTCTTGTGTAGTCAGTTCTCCAGTTTCTTCCAGATCATCAACTTTGGTTTTTATAATCAGTTTTTTAAATCAACCCAGCCTAATCATGGTCCTTCTATTTTTTTGTGTATGTGTCAGGAATTGAACTTGGGACCTTGTACTTGCCAGGCATATGTTCGCACCACTAGCTGTATCCCCGGAATTGTTTTTATCTTTGTATCAAGGACCAAACCCAACACCTTCATAGTGAGCTACATCCTTTTTTAAAATTTTTAGTTTTAAGGTTGAGTCTTGCTAATTTGTTAAGTTGCCCAGGTTGCCTTTGACCCTGAGATGCTCTTGCCTGAGTCTCCCAGAGTGCTGGGATTACAGTCCTGTGCCACCATACCCAGTTGATTTTTTTTTTTCTTAGACCTTTTTTTTTGGTACCGGAAATCAAACTCATGACCTTGTGCTTGCCAGGTCCTGTGCCACTGAACCATATCCCTGGCATCTTTCTTGGGTCTCTACCTATATTTCCTGCAGAGTGATGTTAGATCTGAAAGTTGGTCATCTTTTTTTTGCTTCTTTCTTTATTGGAATGCCTCTGTGGGATCAGCAGGATGCCAGTGTGGGATCTGCAGGATGGAGACAGTGGTGCAATAGTAAATGGCACCTTAGTCTGGGGGAGGCGCCTGGTATCTGTCATCTATGCTCTTACGGTATTAGGGTTACTCGTTGTTAGGTCCCCATCAATTGTCAGGTCCCCATCAACTTCCCTCCATTGTGAGTGTTACAGATGGTGATGTCCAGTGCCTCTCACCTCATTCAGAGTAATCTGCAGGGCAGGGGCGATCTCTGGCTCTTTTGTCCTCCAGTGACAGGTGAGCTTCCAACAGAATGGGAATATGGCTGCATGAATGCACCAGGGTTGTCCTGAGAGCTAATTCTACACCAGGCGAAGGACAGACACCTGCACTGAGTTGTCCCAGGCCCCAATGGAGCAGCTGAAAGCAGGAGGGCAGTTGAGGCAAGCAGCTTTCTCTTCCTGCTGGAGGAGAGGGCACAGCTGAGAGCCTGTGTAGATGGCTGCTGGTAAGAAGCCAGTAGAGAGTAGAAAGAGAGAGAGAGAAAGAGGACCAGAAGTGCCCTTTGCAGGAAGAAGGGTCCTAGAGATGGGGAAGAAATGTGGGCTGAATGTCTGTCTTGGTTACTTTTCTTTCATTGCTGAGACACAACACCTGACATCCAAAACGAAGGAAGGAAAGATTTATTCAGCTTACAGTTTTTGGAGGTTTCAGTCCTTGCTTGTATGACTCCAAGGCATGGTGACGTGGCTAAGATACAGCTGTTCATGGCAGCCACAAGCAACAAGAGCGAAAAGGGCAAAAAGGGGAAAGTGCACCTCCTTCCCTCCATTATATTGTATGCCGGCTCTGCCCCTGGGCAGGTGCAGCGCTCACTCTGTTAACTCCAGCACTAGACAAGGAGCCAGTCATAAATGTTAGATTAGCACCTTCATGACTGCATGAGGTTTTGGAGCGACGTTTAAACAAGCCACAACAGTGTCAAATTTACTTTCCATTGCATCAGGAAGGACAGGTGTGGGCCAGGGTTCCCAGAGGAGAGGGAGAGAGGAGGACAGACAGACAGACAGAAAAGAGAGACTGCGTGCAGGAAAATTGGCAGGTCCCAGGGTGCACAGCAGAGTCAGCAGCTGCAGCCCAGGAGAGCCAGGGGGTGGTTCCAATTGGCACTTTTGGGCTTATGACCCAGGAAGAGCCCATGACCTAACTTACTGGCTGCGTGGCTTCCTGCTTGGGAGAGGTTTTACCCTCTTGTCCATGTCTTCACCTGATTAGATGCAGCCCACCTCATTAGGAGAGCCACCCACTTTCTGAATCAAATGTGAATCTGATTGAGAAATACACTTCCAGTCACACACACTCACCATGTATCTGGGAATTCCCTGACCACTCATCATGTCACAGAACTAGGTGCACAAAGGGTAAAGGCCAGGCAGAAGCTGGGCCTTCATATAGGTCTGGTGTATGGGTGAGACACTCTGGTGATTTTCTCGGAAGGAGCAAGGCCTTCTAGATGAAAGAGGAGAGATGGACACCCAGGAAGGATGGGGAACAGGTGACCACCAGCACACAGATGGCCAGGCAGTGTGGGATCTGCAGGATGGAGACAGGAGCAAATTGCCTCCTAGTGCGATGCTCTCAGACTTACCCCTCTATGTTATTGGAGGCATAGGGTCCTCCCTGCATCTGACCCTGGGTGCCCTCATCTGAGGAGACATTCGGAGGTCTGGCCAGGTTGTGTCATTTGTGAGCCACACTCCTAGCAGTCAGGGAAGACACGTCAGATAAGCAGCTGAGCCCCAGGAATCTGTCCAAGTCAGGCCCCATGTCCTGTTGGGGTTAGGAATAGAAACTGGGGTCTAAAACTTGAGGTTGCTGGTACTGTGTGTACCTTGTTCCCTTTGGTGCCTCTGCATGGGTACTATTGCAGTGCCTTGACTGGAAAGTGCAGCAGCCTCCAGCTCACAGTGAAGTACCTTTGTGACCATATAGCAGATAGTGAAAAGAGAATCTTCTACATGCTGTTGTGCTTGTATGGATCTATGTAGATTTCTTTGACTATTTTAACATAAATAGGGCGAGTTAGGGTGGCACACAGCTCTCTGGTGCTCTGTTTATGGCTCACTATGTTACATGGTATGGACACGTTCTGCTTGACCTGTTGAACATTCTGTTCCACAAGCAAGGCCACAGTAGACACTCATGTGAGGGCTCTTATTGCACTTCTAAACAGCCAATAGGACTGAATGCCTGGTGCAGGTTAAAGCACTCCAGGTTGGTAAGGGACCCAGGAATCCTCTGGACTTGGAGCAAAGCAGCTTGGGTCTAGTGGGGGAGGATATAGTTCAGAGGTAAATTGGAGATGATAGTGCTAGTCCTTACTTACAGAATCAGTTCTGGTAGGTAACAACACAGTTTGTTAACATAAAATCCTAACTCTATACAGTACTCTATTGCTGGAAGGAAACTGACCCACTTTTAAGTTCCACTGAAGTTGGCCTAATTAGTGTCTCCTTTGAATGCCCAGCTTAAGCCCATTGGTGCCTCTCTTTCCCCCACCTCAGTTTCTGCATGGAGACCCTCTCCCTGATCCTGCTGTGACACTGTGTGAATGGAGGCACTTTGGATTACCTTGTGATAGGTTTGACTGTATGTGTTTCTTAGCACCTTGAATCAATAAGTCTATGATGGATGTAATTGTGAAAATATTCCTATTCTGGAAAATATGTAGTGTGCCTTCCCTCCCTCTTTCTTTCTTTTTCATTATGATCAGGCTGGTACTGCGAATCGAACTCATGACTTTGTGCTTGCCAGGCAGGTACTGTACTGCTGAGTTATATTCCCAGCCCCTTCACCTGGTCTTGAACCCACTTTGTAGCCCAGGCTGGTCTTGAACATGCAGTGATCCTTCTGCCACAACTCCTGAGTACTGGGATCATAGACATGTGCACCACACCAGCACAAATGCATTAGGAAGCCCTTACTGTTGATTTCTAGATTCCAGCCTTGCCCCCTCAATGGGACCTGATTTCACAGCCCCATGGCATTGCTGCCAAGTGTCTTGCCTATTGGGCATGTCACCTCACCATGGATAGATGGTAGGAACTCCTAGTACACACACACACTCACATCCTACCTTTGCTTTCTAGCAGGATATGAAGGCTGTCACAGCCAGGCCCTCACTTACTTGCCCATTTCCTCCTTCACAGCTCTCAGTGGCGTCATGTGCCATTTCTCTCATGTCAGCAGGTGTTCAGCCAGAACCTTGCTTCTCCCTGCACCCTCATGCCTGTGCATGCAGCTTCTTTCCTAGGGTGACTTTGAGTTATGTCTTCAGTGAAGGTACTGATGATAGTGCTAGGGCAGCTTTGAAGGCCAGGTAAATGGCGTGTGCACTGCCTGCCTGTCCCTCAGAGAGATAGTGGGTGTTCCTTCCATCAGTGTTTTTTGACTTGGAAAACCATACCAGCTGCATAGAATGGTGCATCTTTTATTTACTTGCATAGATTAGCAATTATGTGGAAAGCATTAGAAATGCCTTTTTTTTTTCTTTCAGGATTGAACCAAGGCTTTGCACTGAGCTACACTTGGAGATCTTTTATATTTTTACATTTTGAGACAGTCTTTTCTAAATTGCCTAGACTGGACTCAAACTTGTAATCCTCCTACCTCAGCTACCTGCAGTGCTGTGATTAAGAAGTGACTTCGTTACATGCACATTCACAGTGGTTTGGTCTGTGTCTAGCTTGGATGCTCTGTTCCTGCTACTAGATGGGTTTCCATTTTCTCATGTTGCTTGTTGTTTTAGTTACTTTGCTCATTATCAAGAAAAAATATGTGACACCCGGAGTTAAAGGAGGAAAGGTTTTACTTAGCCCACAGTTTGTAGAGGTTGTAGTTCATAGTGGGGCAGGGGGCTCCAAGGTGGAGTGGCATGGCAGAGAGGCATCACAGAGGAAAAACAGTCCAGGGCAGGGCAGAGCAGGACAGGCAAAAGACAGCAAGCAGCAGACAAAAACACAGCAGTTCTTTCTGTCCTTTGTATCTTAAGCAGACTTAGGACACACCAATAGTCAATCCCCACATCATGTCCTTGATCCCAGTAGCACATATCCTAGATCCAGCTATCTCCAAAGAGCCCCACCTATGACCACATGGGACTTTGAGAGAACATCTAGATACAAGCCATGACAGTGGTGTACTGGCCATTTGGATAAAATGTCACACAGTAGCTACTGTTCTTGTTAGCTGCTCTGTCAGGGCTGGTATCTTCTAGTTAAGTGTACTCTGATTTTTTTTCTATGTTGTCATTGTAATTCCCCATAGTTTGAGATTCTTATATCTTCCCCTAGCCACTTGTTTTTAGTGGGTAAGTCCTACATCTATGTACCTCCATACTCTGGATGTAAGAGTCACAGTGAGGGCAGACACAGAAAGCATTTATTGACTGATTTTTGTGCCTTCATACTTTTGCTTTTTAGAAAAGTTTGTGATACCCAAATAGTTGCTCTTTAACATTCATAAGAACTTACACATTTTTCTCATTATTTGATTTATTTCAAACCTGGACCGTAAACCTGATTTATCTCTGACATCTTTTCCTTCCAGTTCAAGTTACTCATCTGATGCTCTGGATTTTGAGATTGAGCACAGATTGGATCCTGTATTTGATTCTCCAAGGATGTCTCGTCGTAGCTTGCGCCTGGTCACGGCAGCATATAGCTCTGGGGACAGCCAGGCTATGGATACACACTCCTGTGCCAGCAGCACGGCCTCCCTGAGGGATAGAGCCTCCAAGTGAGCACCACTTAGCTTTGTCTTCATGGTTTCCATCCTCCATTAAGACCAGTTTTGGAAGCTTGTTTAGTGTGAGACCATGTTCTCCCTCTTGAACTTAAGTATACATGTGAATGTGTACATATACACTGAACCACCCTGTAAAGCTTTGCTGTGAATAAAGGCAAACTGACTGTGGAATATGCATGGGTGCCTGGTGTTGAGCTTCTGCAATGTGTAGTGGGTATGCTGATGCTCTTGAGAGCTGACTGATCCCCGGTGACATAGACATGCTCCAAGGGCACCTTGTCCTTGTAATGAACACCTACTAAATGTCGAAGGGGGAAGAGTGTTGTCAGGTCTTCACCTGCAGCACAGATAGCCTCTCTTGTTAGTGATTTGTGTCTCAGGATATGTGAATTGAGGTGCCCACCCGTGCCAGTTGAGGTGCTCACCCATACCAAGTGCATTTTCCTCTGGACACTTGAGTCCCAGAGATATTGGTACCTCTCTTGTGCCAAGAAGGAGCAGAGTTCACACAATTTGGGTGGCTCTGCCATTTAGAGACAAGGAATGAAAGTGACTTACTGCGTTAAGGTAGTTCTTTGGAGTAGGAATGGTGGAATGGCTGGCACCTAGATCTGTAATCATGGTTCTCTGTCTCCCAGGAGCTTTTTATCTAAAAAATTCGATTCCTCACCTTGTAAGCTTCAAGTACAATAGCTTCATTACAGAGCTGAGAGCCCCTTGGCTCCAGTATGCTCAGTTCCAGACCTACCAGGCTGTGCTGAGATAAAGACCCTGATGTTCCTCCTGGATACTAGGAGGCCAGGGATACGCCTGTGTAGGTAGTAAGTTTGTCACTGCTCTGTTCATGTTGAAGTGGTGAGTTTGTCACTGCTTTTCCCACCACCAATTTCAGAAAAGCACAGGGGTTACTATACGTGCTGCCGAAGCAAGCATAAGCACAAGGGTTAAACTTACAAATCTTAAAGGATATTTTTAAGTCATTTTTACTTTCAGGTTATTTTACAGTTGACTCAGTTTCAGGACATTGGCCACAAAATAATCTGTAGTTATTTTTTGTTTAAACAAAACAAACAAATGTTTACAATTTTATAGGCAGGTGTTGGACCCCAGTTTAGAATTTTTTTGTAAATTAACTAATAGATGTATTATTACAGAAGGAAAGGCATTAGAAAATAGTTTTTAAAATCCCACGTTCTCAGCAATGGATTTTGTGTTGGTAAAATACGTCCTTTTGTATTGACTGGAAGTGGTATGTAAACTTGTTTCTTACTCCCTTTTCTCCAGAACAGTAAAACAGCGCAGAAGTACAAGCAAGCAGGCCTCTTTCAGCGTCAACCACCTATCAGGGAAGGCTACATCCTCCAGCATCAGCCAGGGCAGCTCTGGCAACCTGCAGGGTGCTGTGCCACTGAGGCCACCTGTGCTGGATGAGACTCTGATTCGTGAGCAGACCAAAGTGGACCACTTCTGGGGTGAGTCACTGGAAGATGCAGACAGCTTGGCTCCAGCCTGCCTTTTCCTGTGATTGTTCTGGAAAGGAGGCAGGGTGTGGCTGGGGACTGGTTTACCATGTTCCACTTAAGGGAACATCAGAGAGGGAGGTCAGGTTCTCTGCATACTCAGGAAGGAATATCTTTGATCTGCCCTGTATAACTAAAGTAAAATTGTCCATTATGTGGAAGATTGAGTGATCAGGCAGTGATCTGATACTTTTCTAAATACATTATTTTTTCAGTACTGATACTGAACCCAGGACCTTCTGTGTGCTGGGCGAGCATTCTTGTCGCTGGGCTACACTTTAAAACAATTTTTTATTTTGAGACAGTGTTCTGCTAAGTTGCCTAGGCTGGCCTTAAACTTGTTAAGATCCTCCTGCTTCAACCTCCTGAGTAACTGGCATTACATGCGTGGGCCACCTTACCTGATAAAACACATTGCTCGTTTAAACAAAGCAGTGTAGAAATTCCCAGTGTTTCTAGAAAGATTTAAGTAGTATGGCAGCCAGTAGACTTTTCCAAGTCATGAGAAAGAATAGTGTGGGGAGTTGACTGGGAAGCAAGGTTAGATGGTTGTGTCCTGGCCAAAGACCTCACTAGTGTGATGCACATATGGTATCCAGAAGCTGAATAGGGAGTGCAGAGGTGCTTGCTAAGTCTGTTTATGTTCTGGCTGGCCCCTTTGAGGGAGTCGAAGACCAGGTTACCCCAGAAATCTTGTCTGCTCCTTTGGGAGCACTGCTTCTAGTTAGGAGGCTCCATTTTGCACATGGGTACTGAGAGTGTCCTGGATGTCTGACTCTGAACTTGTGCCTGCCCCTTGGGATCAGTGTGTGCTGTTGGGCAAGGGTTCCTCTGAGGCCATCTCCACATCAAGTCTGTGAGAGAGGTCTACCTGTGTCTGCAGAGGTTTGCATCAGCTCCAGGCTCCTTCGCCAATAAATACACCCTATGCCTGGGTGCTGACATGTCACCATGGCAACCTTTACTCTCTTTTCTGAGGGTGGAACCTGTTCTGTTCAGCAACAAAAATATGTATGTGTTTTTCAGGTCTTGATGATGATGGCGATCTTAAAGGTAATTACTTAAGTCTTTTCTTCTGCACTCTTTTCAGAATAGAAGTTGTAATTAGTTATCTGTAGATTGTGATAAACAGATTTTGTGTACTTTTGGAAACTTTAGGTGTAAATAAAGCTGCCACTCAGGGAAATGGCGACCTGGCAGCAGACACAGCAGCCCACAATGGGTACACCTGCAGAGATTGCAGCATGCTCTCAGAGCGCACAGATATGCTCACAGCCCACCCTGCTGCCCACGGGCCTGCATCGAAGATTTATTCCAGGGATAGGAATCTGAAACGTAAGTTTCTGTCTTTCAAAAAATTTGCGTTCATATATTCCTTTTTTGGTACAAAATAGACTTTACAGACCTCTGTCTGCACCATATCTGTTGGAGTTGAACTCAAAACCATCATCTAAGAATTTAGAGAAATATATTGCAAGTTAGCTTGCTATACCTGTCTCTTTCTCCAGCATGCAGACAGTCCTTTTGTACTCATCTACATCTGACTCTGTGGGTGACGACTTTAAGCCAGTCTTGTTAATCTTTGTATACTTATATATCTTGGATTAAATCTCTTTCTCTGGCAAGCACTGAGTGCTACAGATTTTGGTACTGGGGGTGGATGAAATTCTCTGATGACTTTAGTGGTTCTTGGAGTTAGCTCTCAAATTTGATAAGATGCCATGATCTCTCCTTCTGATACTGTGGGAAATTCTGATAGTCCTTGGTGTGAACTGCCTAAAGTAATATGCAACATAGATGTTAGATTATCCTAATTCAACACTTGCCAGATGTAAGGAATTCAGTGACTCCATATATGAAACTTTTGAATATTTTTGGCAGAGTGGGAAATTCAGTGATATTGGCTGGACAGCATCTCTGGACAAACTAGTTGAGAAAAACAATGAGTTCAAAACATCCATAGGAAATCTAAAATCTTCTACCTGTGAGCACAAATTAATAAAGGAAAATAAAGAGCTCAGAGATCAAAATTACTAGCTTCACACACACATAAAAATTTTAAAAGTTTCTAAGTGTGGCCCAAAAAAGAAGCTCCTCTCCTTTAGGCATAGGGTGGAAAATCTGGAAACCCAAACATAGGCTCTCATGCTTCAGTTAGCTGAAATACAGTGTAAGTTTAAAGCTCAGTCTTGAAGAGTATCTGAAGTAAAGGTGAGGGCATTAATCAGAAAAGAATGGGATCCTGTAAGCTGGGATGGAGATGTTTGGGAGGATCTAACAAGACTGAAGATGTTGAGCTCCTAGATTCTAATGAGATTATTTTGCCAGGGGAAGAGATTTCCCCACCCACAATGGTAGAGGTATCTCTACACCCCCCCCCCCATGGTAATGGCCTGTGCTAGTATATCTGAAGAAACTAATCCTGTGTTGACCAAGCATTATAGTGCTGACAGTCCTTAGGACTCACCCTCACCACCCACTTTTGCCTCTATGCCTATATACAGATTGGAATTACAGAAGGCTACTAAGGGTGAGGTGAACATCATGACCCTGGAGGAGATCTGCTCTTCTCCCAAAGAACTTCCTGAGTTTTCTACTTTTATAAGCAGAGACCTGATGAGCAAATGTGGAAATGGATTTTATGCATTTGGGATAATGGTGGCAGAAACATAACTGGATCAGGCCAAGTTTGTCAGTATGGGCCTGTTAAGCAGAGATTGCGAATTTAATGTTGCAAAAAGTTGTTAATAGTTTTTGGCTGGTTGAAAGAAGTATGAATCAAAAGATGGCCCACCGTGAATGACTTAGAGATACCAGATACTCTATGATTTACTGTTGAGGGAAATTAGAGGCTGAGGGAAATGGAAATGCCGGTTTGGATTTGTCATGTTAAACCTAATCCACCTTACCGGGGTGATCCAGAAAATGTATCCTTCACTAGCACCTTGAGAAACAGATTTGTGAGGGGCACACTGGTATCTTTGAAGAGGCCTTTCTTCTGTGCTTGCTCTTGATGTACACTTGTATGCTTGCTCTTCTCTGTATGCCAGACGTTACAGCAAGGACCGTAGTTACTCAATTGGGAGGCATAAAGGCAGCGGGTTTGATGGTATCTTGGAGTGACAGGGGTCAAGGGGCAGCATGAAATCGCCAAAGGCAAGGTACTTATCCTAATGGACAGCAGCAACACAGCAGTGATCAGAATGGACCTGCCCATGTAGACCTATGGCATTGACTAATTAGTTGCAGCGTTCCCAAAAGTAAAATAGATGGGAAGTCTAAAAATTTTTACTAGATTTATGTAGTTGGAAAAAATTGAAGGGAAAATGAGCAGAAACCTGCGTCAAATTGTAATAACGGAATCATGGCCCTTCAGCCAGTTCCTGGGTTTGAGCCAGTTTACAGACGCAGAACCCCTTAAATGAAGGGGAGGCCAGGTGCTCTTGAGGAAGGACCCTGGTGCACCACCAAAAATTTATGTTGTACTTAGTCTTTCTCGTCCTTCTGCAAAGGGATCTAAGGCTTTTTACCAGAGTAACTGTACGTTGGGAAATAATCAGACTTTTTGAGATTTATTGGACACTGGTTCTGAGTTAACACTGATTCCAGGGAATCCAAAGTGTCATTATTGCCTTCCAATAAGAGTAGGAGCTCAGGTGATCAATGGAGTTTTAGCAAAGGCCCAACTCATAGTAGGTCCAGTCATTCCTTGAATGCATCCTATGCTCATTTATTTCCCCCTGTTCCAGAATGCATAATTGGAATAGATATGCTTAGTACTTGGCAGAATCCTCACATTGATTCCTTAATGTATACTATGAGGGCTATATTATGATTAGAAAGGCCAAATGGAAGCTATTAGAGTTGCCTTTGCCTAGTGAAATATTAAGCTAAAGACATTATTACATCTATCGAGAGACTGCAGAGATTAGTGCCACCATCAAGGACTTGAAGGATGCAGGGGTGGTGATTCCAACCACATCTCCATTTAATTCTCCCATTGGCCTGTACAGAAGATGGATGAGTCTCCGAGAATGATCATAGAGTACTATAAACTGAATCAGGTAGTCACTCTAGTTGCTGCAGTACCAGATATGGTTTACTTACTTAAGCTGATTAATACATCTCCTGATAACTTGATATGCAGCTATTGATTTGGCAAATGTCGCCTCTCCATAACTATCCATAAGGCCTATCAAAAACAATTTGCTCTCAGCTGGCAAGACCAGCGGTATACCTTCACTGTCCTAGCTCAGGGTTATATTAACTCTCCAGTCCTGTGTCACAACTTAGTTTGCGGGGATCTTGATTGCTTTTTTCTCCCACAAGATAGTATAGTCTTCCATTTCATTGATGATATTATATTGATTGTATCAAGTCAGAAGCAATCACTGTTTGTTAAGAAAGCTTTTGTGGGGGGGCTGGGGATTTAGCTCAGCGGCATAAGTGCCTGCCTTGCAAGCAGGCAGTCGTGAGTTCGATGCCCGGTACCGATAAAAACGAAAAAGACAAAAAAAGAAAGCTTTTGCAAGTCTGAGGATAGGAAGTAAATCTAACTAAAATTTAGGGTCCTTCTTCAGTGAAATTTCTAGGAGTTCAGTGGTGTGGGGCACACAGCAATGTCCTGTCTAAAGTGAAAGATAAGTTGTTGTGTCTGGTTCCTCCCTACAACCAAAGCAGAGGCACAGTGCCTAATGAATTGTGGAGGCAACACATCCTGATATAGGTATTTTACTCTGACCCATTTACTGAGTGACTTGGAAGCTACTTGTGGAGCCCTGCACAAGAGAAGACTCTGAAACAGGTTGTGCAGGCTACTCTGTCACTGGAACCATAATGATCCAGCAGATCCATGGTACCTGAAGTGTCACTGGCAGGTAGAGAAGCTGTTTGGAGTTGCTGGCAGGCCCCCCTGCTACTGAGCTGTAGTGAAAACTGAATGATTAACTGTGGGACAGCAGGTTACCATATTCCCTAAGCATGAGCTGGGTATTAATCTGATCCACTGAGTCATGAAGTTGGATATCCTCAGCAATAGCCCATCAGTAAATGGAGATGGTACATATGTGAGAGAGCCCAAGCAGACCCAGAAGGCACAAGTAAATTACATAAAGAAGCTGCCAAGATGCCATGTAATAGCGCTATCATAGCAGCACCTGGTATATTGCCTTCTGTTTCCCATCGTGTACCTGTGGCCCCATGGGGTGTCCAGAAGAGAAGGATAGGGCCTGGTTTATTGATGGTTCTGCACGTTATGCAGGCTCACCTACCAGGTGTATGGCTGCAGCATTATAGCCCCTTTCCAGGACATCCTTGAAGGATAGTGGGGAAGGGAAATCTTTGTAGTGGATAGAACTTCGGGCAGTGCATCTGGTAATACATTGTGCCTGGAAAGAGAAATGGCCAGATATGCTACTATATATTGATTTATGTGCTGTAGCTAATGGTCTGGCCAAATAGTCCAGAACGTGGAAGGAACATGACTGGAAAATTGGTGACAGAGGTATTTGGGGTATCTGGAGAGACCTCTCCATATGAGCAAGGAATGTAAAAAATATTTGTATCCTGTGTTAACACTCACCAAAAAGTGACCTCAGTAGAAATGGGTAGGATAATCTGTTTTGGAGATAGTGATCAACCTCTTTATTCAGCTGTTTCTGTCATTGCCCAGTGGCCATGATGGCAGGGATGAAAGTTATATATGGGTTCAGCAACATGGATTCCCACTCACCAAGGTTGACTTGGCTATAGTCACTGCTCAATGCCCAGCATGCCAGCAGCAGAGACTTATTGAATCCCTGGTGTGGCACCATTTCCTGGAGTGATCATCCTGTGACCTGGTAACACGTTGGTTATATTAAAGCACTCCCATCTTGAAAGGACTGCACTTTGTTCTTATTGGCATAGACACTTGCTCTGCATATGAATTTGCCTTCCCTGCACATAATACATTTGCCAAAGCTACCATCCATGGACTTAGAGAATGTTTTATCCACTGCCATGGAATTCTGCACAGCATTGCCTCTGCCCAAGGAACACATTTTATGGCCAAAGAAGTGAGGCAATGGGCTTGTGCTCATGGTATTCACTAATCTAACCATGTTTTTTTTTTTTTTTTTTTTTTTAAATCATCATCCAGAAGCAGCTGGACTGATAGAAAAGTGAAATAGTGTTTTGAAGACACAGTTACAGCACCAGCTGGTGACAGTATCTTGCAACCAGGGCAACATTCTTAAAATGTCCATATATGCTTTGAATCAGTGTCTACTGTATGGTACTGTGTGTCTCATAGCCAGGATTCGTGGGTCCAGGAATCAAAGGGTGAAAGTGAGAATAACACTACTCGCCATTACCTCTAGTGATCCATGAGCAAAATTTTTGGTTCCTGTTCCTATGACTTTTGAACTCAAGTTCTAGAGGTGGGAAGGGCTGTATCAGGAAGCACAACAATGATGCTATTAAACTGGAAGCTAAGACTTCATCCTAGTCATTTTGATGTCCTCATGCCTCTAAGTAAACAAGCTACAAAGAGAGTCACAATGTTGTCAGGGATGATTACCCAGACTGTTAAGGGGAAATTGAACTATAGCTCCACAATGCAGGAAAAAGAATATACTTGGAGTGTGGAGATCCCTTAGGGGGCTTCTTAATACTACTATGCCCTGTTTTAGAAGTCAGTGGAAACTACAACAACCCAATCCAGGCAGGATGACAGATACCTAAAACCTTCAGGAGTGAAGGTATGGGTCACCTCACCAGGGAAAGAACCAAGACCTGCTGAGGTGCTTGCTGAATGCCAAGGGAATACAGAATAGTAGAAAAAGATAACTCTAAATACTAGCTACAACCCCATGATCAGCAACAGAAACAAGAGTGTAATTGTTATAGCTCTCTCCTAATATGCTTCCTAGGTAATACAATGTTGATAGATTTATATTGGTTCTTAAGTATTGTTAAACCTACGTTATCATGTTCAAGTTATGAAATGTTAGTCCAAGCATCACCTAAAGAAAACTTGCCTTCTATTCTGGGGAGTGAATTAGTGCATTTCTGTTTGTGTATAGAATATTTGTAACATGTTAGGTGTGATTATGAACTTGTCTTTGTATCTGAAGACTGTGGTTAAAGAAATATGTTTGAGTGTCAAGTTGACAAGGATAGATTGTGTTAGTTAACTAAGTAAACTTGAGTAACAATCACTCAAGGAAATTGGATCAGCGTAGTTCTAGGTATGGCTGAGGGGATTTACTGAGGCCCCACCCTGGGTGGGCTTGTCACCTGAACGATATAATGGGAAACAAGGCTTGCCTCTGGTTTTTGGAGGTGCTCCAGTCTTCACTTTCACCTTGGCTAGTGTCCTGGCTACCAGTGCAGACTCTTCAGCCTCCATCACAGACCCATAGCCTCCTCTTGTAGACCTTTCAGCCTCTTGGTATAGAGTCACACAGGACGCCTTCACTTGAATCCTTTGGGTGCTTAGCAACAGTCCTTTTGCACTGTCCCACACCTGACTGTGTAGGTGGCCATTGTAAGCCAGTCTGTAAGTCTTACATATCTTGCATTAAATGTATTTAGTGATACAAATTAAATGTTCACTGAGTGATACAAAAGGGGAAGGAGAGATACAGAGTCTAAGTGGTGTGACTTTCCTTGCACTTTGAGGACCATGTTGTGGTTGAGTACTTCAGTACCAGCCAGTATCACTCAGCATTTACCCTGGCCCCGGACTGCATAGATGCTCACAGAGCCCATTCTCCAGCAAGCACCAGGGGTTAGCTAGTGAAAGAAACCTGTTGGTAGGTATGGGACTTGGACTGAACTGGATGTCCCTAGATGCTACTAGGCTTCTGGGGTACTAGTCAACTTGATTCTTGCTTTTTAAAAAATGATTAGCAGTTGTCTTCAGCCTGAACCACCAGTACACATAACTATCTCCTCAGGTGGCTTATATACCCCCTCATGGATGTACAAGTGCCACCAGATAGGACAATATCACCGGTGATTCAGAGCAGCCCAGCAGTAAGACTTACGAATTACGATCCCATCATTACCATGTTAAATTCATCTCACATAAAATTAACCATTAGTCATCTTAAAGTATACAGTTCAGTAGCATTGTATTAAATTTCACTCAGCTATTGCGTTCTCATAGGAAATACATTAACTGTTTTATAACTTACATATTATAATTTAATTGAGATTAATTTCATTCTTTTTAGTCTCTCCTTGCCTTTATGATCAAAATCCATTCATTCATATCCAGGTTTTATTTATGTCTTTACACAAGTAAAAACATTGTTTCTGTGGTTGTATTCAGGTGTGTTCTACAGGCCTTTCTCATGTAAGCAAGCTGGAAATAGAATGGAATTGTTCACTTTATGTTCTTCCAATTGCCTTTGTTAAAGATCAACTCAAATTACTCTTTCCTACATCCAGATAAGCGTGCCCTTTCTTCTCCCCTCCTTTTTATTTTTTTGGTGCTGGGCATGGAACTCCTGGTATTACACATGCCTACCTTTTGCCTACCTTTACTCTACCTTTTGACTTGTAACCCAGGATTCCCATATTCTTGCCAAGTCTCATTTTTGTTTATCTGAATCTTGCCAACATGATGAACTTTAAAAAGTGAAATTAGGTAATTTTTTACTATCAGATTGCCATCCATTATCTCTAATAAAATTTTTTGCTGCTTTTACCAGCCTCTATGCAAAATGTGTGCTGTGTAAAACAGAATTGGCACTGGGGCTCATTTCCTCAGGTTTGTGTATTTCCACTACGTGGTTCTACTCACAAATAACCTTTTGCCTGTTTTTCTTTTTTTTTTTTTTCTCTTTTCTCTTTCTTGGTACTGGGAATCGAACTCAGGGCATTATGCTTCCCAGATAGGTGCTGTGTCACTGAGCTGTTTCCCCAACCCAGTCTGTTCTTTTAAAACTAATAAAGCCTTTTTTTAAAAAACCCCAGACTGGAGCATCAGAGGTTATCTAAGGTGGCTGATCTTTGGCAAGATCAAATATTGTAGAGTTTTTAGTTCTACAGTGGGGAGGTTTTATGGAGGAAGCTGTTGCAATGGCTTCTTGCGTAGCTTCATCTCTGTCACTGTTGAAGACACTTCCCAGGCTGTCCTATTTTGTGTGCATTTTTAAAGTGCTTTGATTCTGCTTTTTGTGAAGTTAATAGTTGGCCATTTGGCTGGTCAGGGGAGAAAATGTTCACTTTATTGGAAGAAATAACATGTGTTCATGGTTTTTTAATAGGCGGTGTGTCTTTCTACTTGGATAGGACTTTGTGGCTGGCCAGATATACTTCATCATCTTTTTCATCATTCTTAGTTCAACTTTTTCAAGTGGTTTTAATGAAGCTCTATTGTGAATCAAACAATTACAAATTGAAAAGTTATGAATCAAAAGATTGTGAATCAGAAAGCTATAAATCAAAAAGCCGTGAATCAAAAGGTATTTAAAAAATTTTTTTCCCTCTTCTTTTTCTCCACCAAATAATGCTTTCAAGGTGGAGAAAATGCTTTCCTTGTAAGAATCTTCGCTCATGCTCTCACATGGTCTTGGGACTGCTTCCTCCTGGCTGCTCTCTAAGGGTCTTAACTATGGGAGCTTGCGAAGGTGTTCCTATGCTCTGTACATAGTTCAGTTTTGAAAACTGTTCAACAGTTAAACATTTTAAAAGGTCTTTAACATGAAAGGTAATACATTAAACTTTTGCTTATTACCTTTTATAAGCAAAACCAGTTTACTTAACATGGCATGTAGAATCATGTTCCAAAAGTTTTAGGCAAGCCGCTCTTTGTATCGTATTATCTGCGTAGCACTTTAAAATCTCTCTTTACACCCAAAGCCCTGTCACTTGTATTTACATTCCGCTGTAGGAGCTGTCAGCCACCCTGAAGTGCCTTGGGAGTGATCTCTATTGGGGGTATGGGGAGTACAGAGTTCACCCTGGTGAGCTTCCTAAGTACCTCTTGCATGTGTTGCAGCTCATCGCAGTTACTGTGGGAGAATGACTGTCACAGAGCTTCCCAGGGAGGACCCCGATCGTCCCAGTGTACACGGGGAGTTGCTGTGTGAGTACACTTCCCTTCCACTTGCAGCAGTTGGAGGAAGGGCCCCCTCCTGTGGTGATGCCTGCCAGCTAACCTCAGGGAATGGTAGCCTGAGTTAGCTCAGCGGCCCCACTGGTTAGGATAGGCTGGTGTGGCTCTTGCTCAGTTCCTCAGTAGTAAGAGCTAACCACCACCAGATTGTATTTGCTGTGATATTTTTTGGTAATTGAGTTCCTGATATCTTCTATTTTGTCTGCACTGTTTAATTGATGAGGTTTGTGTATTAATCTGTCACTTCACTGTTTGTCACCACCCCACAGGCGATGACTGTAAGGGGAAGAAGCACCTCGAGACACATACAGCCGCCCGCTGGCAACCATCCAAGCTACACAGGGTGGTGGGGGCCATGGGGCACCTCTGCACCCGTGCAGGTTGTGTCTTGTCCCTTGTCTGTGTTGTTATACCCTGTCACAGTGCCACTGTCCCTGTTTAATGAGTGCAGTTCAAGTGTTTAAAGCACTTTAGTAAACAAGAGTATTGTCAGGTGTAGCTTAAAATATGGAGTCTCCTAAAAAGCTTCTTTGTGAGCTTAGTGTAAATAAAATACATGTGAAACTCAGTATTTGTGGTGATAATAAAAGTTGAGCAAAGACACATCATCCTCCTGTATTGGAGCAATAGCCACTTGACCACTCCATGCACAGAAATTGTACTCGATATCCCAGGAAGTGTATGTAAAAGAGGAAATGTCTTGCGTATCATACATATAACTTTGCTAGTAAAAAGACACCCCTCTTTTTGGCAGCTCTTGTTTAACCTGAGCTTCAAAAATAAGTGTCTCACCAGGAATATAGCTCAGCGACACAAGGACCTGCTTGGCAAGTGCAAGGTCCAGAGTTTAGTGAGTTCCAGTACCCACAGAAAGTGTTGTAACTGTCTATACATGTAGACAAATTTTTAAAAAATCATCCTAAGTTGTATTTCTTGCATATCAGCCACTATTGATTTCAAGGGTTGACATGCATATACCAAGTTACTATAAGACTTTGAGTGTCTGCTGTTGAAAAAATGGAACAGTTTATTTCATGACCAGCTTTTTGCCCTCTAAAATGTCCAAGTTCATCTTTTCAAAATATTCTTCACTGGAAACTATTAATCTCTGGAATATACTTCATTGTCGTCTTTGAGTAATCATTTCCTACCCAGCACGTGCAACTGCTGGATCTGGATTTCAGTTGTCTTGAACACCTGCATTATGTTTGCAGCATGAATCCTACAAGAATTAACTGCCATATCTAAAAGGGAAGCTTTTAACTATCACGCTTGAATTTTATGCAGGGTGATTACATTTTACCTTTTATATATCTTCAGGGAAGGGTACATGAAAGCTATTTTATAATAGTGGATTGTCATAGTAAATTTTATCAGACATCTTGCTTAGCCTTAAAATAGCACCCACACACACACCTTGGGGTGACCACTGTCTTAGTAATAGGAGGGAGTCAGGCATAGGGTGTGACTGAGAACCTGCTGTGTTGTCAGGTGGAGAGCTGGTGCCCTGAGGTCAGTCTGAAGGTGCCCTCCTGCACACATTTTCTCTGTCACAGGTTACTTCCTCATGCAGACGCTGGGAAGGGTGAGAGCTGCTGGATGGCTTGTGTCCAAGACGGTGTGGTCAGTCCTTTGGTTGGCCATTGTTGCTCCAGGTGGTTATTCTGGTCATCTGTGTTGGCATTCTCTCCATTGCTTTTGGCAGCTAAGCACCTATAATAAGTGATTTGCCTAACCAATAAAACTTTCATTTCAGGTTCCCATTCTTCTTGATACAACATGTATTCATTCTTACTGGAAATGCTAATATGCTATGTTAGGGACTGCATGAGTATTCTTGTTTTTCTGTTGTGTTGAGGTTTGTGTATGTCTGGTTGCCTGACTGTCATGTACATGAGGTGCATGAACTTGTTACTTCCCCATGTCGCGTTCCATGTCCTTCTCAGCACTGCATACTGCTCTCTTGTGTGACAGCAACCTCATTTTGGGCCACTGCTCCCTGGCTTCATCCTGAGCACTTCAGAAAAGCTGTCCAGGGATTTCCTTGTGCTTCTCGCTCAGCCTTCATGGGAATTATTCCCCCAGGGCTTGGTGGCATGAGATCTTTCCTCACAATGCTTGATTTTCTAACTCCTAGGGAAGGTGGCCTCTGGAGTGTTCTCGTGGCTGGGGATTGGATGGTACCAGTTTGTTACTCTGATCTCTTGGCTGAATGTGTTTCTTCTTACAAGGTAAGCAAGCTGGTGCCACATCAGCATAGTGTGTGAAAAAACACTGCGCCAATTCCAGGCTATTGTTTGTATTACTGTTTTATAGGGGTGCAGCATATACTTCCATCATGTTTTATTTGGTGTGTTAATGTTTTATACTGTTAAGTCACTTCATAGTTTATAAAATGTTTTCATGTTCTTAGTTTTTCAAACTGGCCCATGAGATGGGCAGGCAAGCCCTGTATTGTTGTTAAGGAAAGTGAAAATTTGTAGTCATCCAGTGAGAGGCTCTGGTAAGGCTGGAGCACAGGTCCTGTGGCCCCCAAGAAAAGGGGTTCAGGCAACTAACTGGTCCTTTTCATGCTGGCACCTCATGTGCAAAGTCAGTGTTCTCTGTAGGAAGGTGCTCCTGTGAGTATGTGCAAGCCTGCTAAATAGAACTGTAACTACATTTCTAATGTCCGATTTCTAATGTCTAGTATGGGAGTATTTTGTACTTCTTCTGAGAGGGGAAAAGAGGATTTGTTTTGAGTTTTTAAATTTAAAGGTTTTCATTTTTATTCCTAGGTGCCTTCGAAATATTTGCAAGTTTTTAATTTTGCTCATCCCACTATTACTCTTAGTAGGTGAGTAAGATGAGGCTCAGTTGCCACAGATGATTGACACATTTATACAGGTGCCATTCTGGGAATCAAACACCACAATGTGTTTGGGAAACCAGTTTAGGCATGTATGTAGCTGTTTTCTCTCCTTCCAGGTGTAGGCCTCTCTCTGTGGGGTCAGAGTGATTTCTTTTCCTTCCTACCTGTGTTGAACTGGACAGACGTGCGCACAGTAGAGAGGGTAGAGGACCCCAAGGACACATTCAGACCTGGGTCTTCTCAACTGCAGGTACTGAAGGCAGACATTTTCACTGGTATCACAAATGCACAGGGTAGTTCAGTTGGGGGTCTGTATTAGTGAATATTTTTAAGTATCAAGCTCCTCAGATATTCTGAAATAGCCCAAATAATGCATAAACAGTTTCATTGTTAAGTTAGTTTTAACTGAGCAATAGCCACTATTTTATAAAATAGAGACAGTGTAGAGAAGGAAATGAAGATCACTTTTTAGTCTGCTCACGTGAGGGTGGTCACCAGTGGTGAGGGGGCTATGTGTTTTCCAGGGCCCTGCCATCAGTGTGTTGTACCAGGTTCCCCTTGGTATATTTACTGACTGGGACTTCCTGATTTCCTCTCAGGATAAGGAAGAGGCTTCCTGGTGGCTGCAAGAGAATGATGGGAGGCAGCAGGTGACTTCTTTTTCTGCTCAGTGCCACAACCACGAGGAGAAGCTCGGGGAGCTGACGGTCTTACTTCAGAAACTGCAAGCGCGGGTGGACCAGATAGATGATGGCAGGGAAGGGCTGTCACTGCAGGTGAAGGATGTGGTTGGACAGCACCTGCAGGAGATGAATGCTGCTGGGCTCTTGAGCACCAAGGTAAGGCCCAGGAGTTCCTGGCAGAAAATGTGGCCTTTGGCATCCTGTTGTGCGAATTGCCCCAGCCCACAGATTACCTTTTGTAAATGCATCAAATGCAATAAACAGCAACCTCACCTACACTTCAACTAGTGCTACACCACTTAAGCATATGTTTCCCTGTCAGGATTAATTTGAGAAAGCTGAAGTCCTGACTTGAAAGCATCTCAGGGTCATGAGGTCAGTTACAAGAACAGCTGCTGTTCCCTGTGGACTTCCGGCCTGTAGCCAGGTGTGCTTTGCGTGCCACTCACAGGAAGATGAGTTAGTCCATTTCCTCAGAACTAGTGCTTATTTTATTATGTCCCAAAGTGAGTTAATTTAGATATGTAAAGCACTATTGCTGCCTTGCTCACCAACATGCTTTTCCCCAACAGCTCTAGGTTTGACAGCCCCCCAGTACTCTGCCCTTGAGCAGGCTCTGAGTGTGGGCTTCTCAGCAGGCCTGTGTAAACTGAGCTGGAGGCATTTTGGGCATAGGACTTGGCGCAGCTCCCTGAGGTCTCTTCACTGCCCACAGAGCAGAGCTTCTTCCTTTGTCTCTTCTTTGACCATGCTGGCCTGACTGTATCAAAAACAGGCCTGTTTTTTCTGGCCAGCCTCTGCCTGTATGATGGCCTCATTGAAGGTGTTAGTGACCATAGCAGATTTGCTCCAGGTCTGAGACCTACCTTTGTCACCTTCACCTGAGATAGTGTCAGTGTTTGTCACTTTGTTTAATTTGCTTTCTTATACCTGTCAGGGGCTATAAATACAGAGCATTTCTCAGTTCTGGTATGATAAAGGCACAAATCACTGAATCAAGGCATGCCTGCCTGCAAGTTTCATTTGTTCAGAGAACTCTTAGGTATTATGCTTTGGTTCCTCTGAGTTGCCTCTTTGTAGTTTGTCAAACATAGATTGAAGTTGGAGTGTTGCTGCATGCCTGTATGTAATCCCACCTCTCGGGAGGCTAGGGCAGGAAGGGTAGCGTGAGTTTGAGGCCAGCCTAGGCTCCATAGTGAGCTCAAGGCCAATCTGAACTACATAGTAAGACTTTGTTTGAAAAAAACCAGAAACCAAAATAAAAACTACATAAATTGAGAGGATTTCAGTAAAATTCAGTTAACACAGATTTTTTGTTTTTGTTTTGTTTTTTGGAATACTGGAACACTATCACTGAGCCTATACCCTCAACCCTTTATTTTTTATTTTGAGGTCAAGTCTTGCCAAATTGCCCAGGCCAGCCTCAAATTTGCAATTCTCCTGCCTTAGCTTCCTAAATAATGGGGGTTACAGGCTTGTGCCACCTGCCTGGCGTAATTAATAGTTACTGTTCCATTTTTGTTGGTCATTTTCTTTGTCCCTGTTGTAGTCACTTTCTTGTCGCTGGGACAAAATACCCTATATTCACAACTTATAGAGAAGAAGTTTGCTTTGGTTTTTAGAGGATTCAGTCTGTAGTGGGCTGGTTCTAAAACAGGAAGTATATGGTGGAAGGGTCTGGCGGAGAGCTGTTCTTATCATGGGGGCCAGGAAACAGAGAAGGGTGGGAAGGGATTACAGCCTTCCAGGTCACACCTCTGTGACCTCCCTCTTCTGACCAGGCCCCACTTCCTAACAAGAAGTCAGCTATCATGCCCCCATGGTGCAATCACCTTCAAACACATGAGGATTTTGGGGGATTTTCTGTATCTAAACTACCATAATCCCATTCTTGGTCTTTTTTTTTTTTTTTTAATCGGTACCAGGGATCAAACTGACGACTGCCTACTTGCAAGGCAGGCATTTATGCTGCTGAGCTAAATCCCCAGCCCCATTTGGTCTTATTTTTTTAGATGAATATTTATATCATGTATCCGCTTGATCCATTTATCCTCCTCATTTTTACTCGTCATTTCCCTCCTGGGTTCAAGAGCCCAGGGTGCAGGTCTTGTAACCCTGGACCATGGTTATTCTGAACTCGCAGTACCATTCTCTGCCGTGGCTGCTCTCTGCTATGTTGTGACTGTCCTTGTATAATCATGGTGCTATATCTAGACCTTTGTAGGGAATACACCTGACCTTAAATCATTTTACTGTCATTTTACTTTGAGAATGGCTGAATACATTAGTGGGACCACAACACTGTTTTCAAGCAGATAGCCAGTATTCAGAACACTTTGTGGTTGGCTCATTTGGTACTATGTTGATCATGGGCCTTACCAAGCCTGAAATCAACTGCCTGGTCATCTTCTTCATAAGTTACTTGCATCACCTCATTTGTGTTCTGGGGCAGTGTTCTAAAGGGTTTACTCATAACAAATGTGTGTTGCGTATTTTATGTAATTTTGAAAGAATTAAGGGGAAATATGTGCATCATGTATCTTTACCGATGATTGTTTTCTTTTTAAATCATTAAATAGAATGGTAGGTGTTTATTGAATCTTCGTTGAACAGGTTGATTTGCTTCTTGCCTAGAGTGTTTCCAAGTACTGTATTTACAGTATTTTTATGTCACCGGAAAAGATACCTGTGCAGTTTCACTCAGGCCTAAGATTCTCAGGGTTAGAAAGATAAGGACATCATCGTGAGGACTGCATGCTATGTGACATGGTGACTACATGGTCTCTAGCTTTTTGATATTTTGGTATTCTGGTAGAAATTACATGCCCTAACCTGCTAGTTTTTGTTACTTAACTTCCTCTACTGTTTGTTCATTTATTTTTCTTTTTCAGACTGACATTATGACTTTCCATCATGAACATGAAGTACGCCTCTCAAAGTTGGAAGATATTTTTAGAAAACTAACAGAAAAATCTGAGGTATTTATTCTTCAACTTAGCATTGTAGCCCCCAACAAAGTGATTTTTTCTAATAGGACAAAAATCAACTATAATTAACATTTTTAGAAGTTTCTTAGCCACAAATATGCTTTCTTTCAAGGTATTTGCTATTGTCTTTTATAAAACTGGAAAAATTGCTCCTGGCTGTCCCTTTTCCTCATGGCTGTTTGCTTAATTTCTTGATGGTTGACCTGGCTGTTTGGTTTGATAGGGATGAAGGAGGTTGTGGGGAAGGAGACATCTCTGCTGGTTCCAGAGATTATGCTGGAGAGAGAATAAAGAGCTAAATCTTTTGTGGGCAGTCAGTTGTGGGGATCAGAGTCTGTTTGCTGCTGTAGAGGTGGGAGTTTGCAATGATCTGAGCTGCAGGGATTGCAGGTGCTTACAACCAGGCTCTTGATGTGTAGGGCACAGTACGGAGTCTGGCATGGCAGGCACTAGTGTTTTGTTGAACTAAATCAAATACTGTGTAGCTAACGGTTCGTGGGAGTACAGCCTTTGGGAGTCTCAAGATCAGCTCCTGGGCCCCAGATCCTGTTTGAGTCAGGTAAGTTCAGCGGAGGAGAGAGAGCCTACCTTGCCCTGCTTCACGTAGGCTGCCATGCCCTTAGCAAATGACTGCTACATGGTGCCTCTGGACATTAGCGTTCTGAAGGCATAACCTCAGTGTGACTTTCCTTTGCCTTAACTGTCCTCACTGGCAGCTTCTGTCTCAATCCCGGTGCTGCTTATTTGAAAAAGTATACTTTGAAAAATGAAACATTACCCCATCTGTTAACCAAAAGGCAAGTGTTGCCTTTTTTTTTTTTAATTTTTTTTTTTTTTATTGGTACATGACTGCCTGCTTTCAAGGCAGGTGCTTATGCCATTGAGCTAAATCCCCAGCCCGTGGCCTTTTAATTAAAGGAAGGAAAATTCAAGATAAATATGTATAATTTTAGATTAATCAAATACATGATTTTGTGAAGTTAGTGTGTAACTTGCATGTTTAACAGAGGTTTCTCACACTTTCCAGGCTATCCACAAGGAGTTAGAACAGACCAAGCTAAGAACAATCAGGTAGGATGCCTTAGATCATTCAGTAGTTTGTCTTCCTCTCTGGTTACCTGGAGCAGTGGCAGTCATTGGTGAGGGTGCTGTTAGCATCCATCCACATGTCACCTGAAGTGTCTTTCTGGAGATGATCCCTTTGGAGGCTGTGTGAGGACAGAGGTCCTGGGGGATCTGCAGTACCCTATCCTATCTATGCAACATAGACTGGCCCTGGTTTTGCCCGAAGAACCTTGCTACTGGTACTCTTGAAAAGCCATCCTCAGGGGTTCATGTCATGGGATCCCTGTGGCTGGCCTCCACTGACATTGCTTTGCAGACTTTGCATGAAAGTACAGCCACTGTCACTGCAGATTGTCTCATGGCTGCAGCCTTTCTGCTCTTGAAGTCAGCCCTCAGTCACCTTCTCACCATAGTTTACAGCTCATTAGGTTCATTGGCTTGCTTGAGGGCCCTCAGATACAGCTTTTTCCTAGATGTCCTCAGAGCTGTGCCTCCCCTCCATACCCGCTTTACTGTCCATGACCTCAGCTTCCACTCCTCCTGGGTCTACATAGGATGGCTTCTGCCAATGTGTCCTCTGTAATTCCCATGGCTACTTTCAGGACCATGGAGAAGGCTCTCACTGATTGAAAGACAGCATGTCCATCATTTCTTGCTTTGGACAGATTGGCTTCCTTGCCTTGTGAGGCAGCGTGAGTGCTGGGGCAGTTTTACCCCAGCGCCTCAACTTGGGGAAGATTGTTTTGGTATGCTAGCACACAGAGCACAGTATGTCGTCCAGAAGAATGCAGGTTCAATAGGACTTCTTAGAATCTCAGCATCTAGTAGGGCATTTGTAATTACAGTACCTGCTGTAAAGTGAGATCAGTGCTGAAGAGCTGAAGCCCTGTGCTCTCAGTGCAAGTTTCTCTTTTATTGGCATAGAAAGTATAGGCTCAGCTTGTCATGGTTGTTGATGAATGCCACCTCAATTGTTAAAAGTCTTATGTGCGATTTTAAGGAAACAGTTTCAAGTCCTAAATCGTTCTCAGAGAGCTAATTCACTTCCTGAACAGATGGCCACTGCTGATAGCTCTCTGGTAGGTACATTGGGACCGCCTTGATGACCTGATGCAGAGAAGAAATTCTGCAGGGCTGGCATTAAGCTGCTTATACACATTTCTTAGCTGGGCTGACTCACCATGGGTGGGGCAGGGTCCTCCTGTGAGTCTGGGTCCTGACTTGTTTCTCCCTCTGCTTGGTGGCTGATTACAGTGGGGCCGAGGAGCAGCTCCTGCCTCGTGTGGAGCGCCTGGAGGAGGAGTTGAGCCTCTTGCGATCACAGTTGTCAGACTGGCAGCAGCTGAAGGCCAGCTGTGAGCAGGTGGGTGCTGCACGTGGGACCTGCAGTGTGTTTGGCTCCTGCTTTTTGTAGTAGAAAGTAGGAGAAAATGGGTACTGAAGTTATCAAGGTGTTCATGCATGTATGCATGCATGCATGCATTCATTCACTCATTCATTTATTCTTGATAGCGGGTTCCCCGCTGTAGTTCTTTTTTTTTTTTTTTTTTTTTTTAATTTAAGGAGAAAAGAAAAAAAAAAGCAGAGAAAGGGTACAAGTTATACAGATTTACAGAAAAAAAATAAACAGTAGGAAATCACTAATTAATGGATTACATATTGTCATCTTAGAAATAATTGTTCAAGTCACAAAATTAAAGCTTGTAAAGTGGACATTCCAACAATGATACTGCAAACAGTTCTGTTCAATGATCCAATAAAACTCTGTGATATCATTTTCTGTCTTACACACTTAAATATACATGCAGTTATATAGTTTAGAGCACTTTCTTTTCCTCTCTTTTGTACAATGACTATTACACATTTTGGGTTTCATTGCTCCCACGGTTCTTATTACTTTTTTGGAAGAGAGTAAAACCAAATGTGACATAACAGAACAGAATCGGTCAAGTCAAAAGGGTGGACATAATAGATAATGTAAAAACATAATACAAGGTGATCAACAATGGTTACCATAATGCCTCCCGCTATCTCTAATAGAATTGCCTATATCATTAGTTATAATAAAATTGAACAAAACAGTAAAGAATAAAACCGACAAAACCAAAACATTGGAGACATTGTAGGTCTTCAAAAGTAGATAAAAGTCAACGAGAATGGGCGTTATAATGAATCTCATTATCTTCACAACTGATACCTAAACTTTCGAACCTGATACTATCCAGCAAAACAGAATAGGGGAACATCAGTCAAAAACAAGATGATGAGAGTAATACAGGGCTTTAAATCGAGATAATGGAAAGTCAAAGTGGGTTACTATAATATATCCTGCTATTTTTTTTCCTTTAATTAAAAGGATAAAAATAAAAAAATAAATAATGGAGTGGAGATTGAGATAAAAGAGGGCATAACAGCGAAACAGCGCAGATCAAAACATAACCATTTAAGCAGAATAGTGTTTCACCACCAGATAATCCTGACCTAAAAGTAGTTACCATATTGTCTCTTTCCTTGAAATCCTTGAGTACAACTTCATATACTGTAGCATTAAGTATATCAAAACAATGTAAAACCATTCAAGAGAATGACAGCATTACAGAGTATTTAGAATCGACTAACAGAAAATGAACAATGGTTTCTGTATAATCTCCTTGTCTTTAAAAGGTTTTTGCTTATACTATTGTACATAATAAAATCCAATAAGATACAACCTATTTAGACCATTGGAGACAGAAGAACAAAAGCTAGATGAGACTTCAAAACAAGATGATACTAAATCAGTATTACCTATTAAGATGTCATTTTCTCCAAAATAGCTGTTCCTATCATCCAATCTTCTCTGCCTCATTTCTGTTGAACTCTTTTTCTGTCAGTAGCTGTCAGTTTGTCTTCTTCATTTTGTTCTCTGCTCCATTCGTTGTGGCCTCCCTGCCACTATTTCTGGATTCTTTGTATTTTTCTTTTTTTAGAATATCCTGCAATACTCTCTGTAGAGTTGAATTGGTGGTTGCAAATTCCCCCAGTTCCTCTTTATCCTGGAAGCACCTTGTTTTTCCATCAATTTCCAGGGACAGTTGTGCAGGATATCTCAATCTTGGCTGGAGATTATTATCTTTCAAAGCTTGAATTATTTCCCCCCACGCTGTTCGTGATTTGATGGTTTGTGCAGAGAAATCTGCTGTAATTCTGATGGGTGTTCCCTTCTAAGTGGTCTGTTTCTTGTCTCTGACAGCTTTTAATATTCTGTTCTTGTATTGAATTTCTGGAATTTTTATTATTATATGCCTGGGTGTTACTCTGTTTGGGTTGTAGGTAGCTGGGGTCCTGTATGCCTCATACATCTGAGTATCTTTACCTTTTGCTAAATTAGGAAAATTCTCCTGGATTATTTCTGTGAGTAGCTTTTGTAGTTTACTTGTTTGTGTCCCTACTTCTTTTATGTTCTTAATCCTTAAGTTATGGATCCTCTTAGCATCTTCTTGTCTTTGTATTATTGCTGTTTGTTTCTTTGTTATTTATAAGAAGTTTTTCATTTCATTCTCCCATATTACAAGTCTGCCCTCCAGTTCAGATAGTCTGTCCTTAGTTTCTTTCAAGCTGTTATGCCAGTCTTCTATAGACTTCTTAGTTTCTTGGTAGTCCCTTTGAACCTGCTTCACGTATTCTATGCTTTCCCTGTTTTCTCCATCAAACAATTCTCCCCTCTTTTTCTGTTCTTCCATTCCACCATCTGTTTTTTCTTGGGTGGTGCTTAGCATTTCTCTAACTATTCTGCATACTTCTAGCTTCAGGTCATTGATAACTTCATTCCTGAATTGATCTATGAGGCTCTCTATATGGCGCTTTATGTCTATTGGTGCGGTGTCCGCTATTGCCTGTTTCTCAGAATTGGGGGCCGAGGAACCTTTCTTGTTGTTGCCTCTTCCCATATTCTCTGTTCCTTATATATGCAAGCTTATATAGGAGACCCAGCTTCTCTCCCTGTCAGCCATAGCCTGATCGAATTGCCCCGGTTAGGTGTTCCCGCCCACCGCAGCACACCAGGGAGTTACGGACCATGCAGCCTACGTGGGGCCTGCCCCTCCCGGCCACCGTCAGGCTCTGGGATCTGGGTTGGGCCAGCCTACCTGGTCCGCTAGCAGCGTCACGCAGGCCAGGCACTTCTCACCAATCCCGCCCGAGAGGGGAATGTGTGGCTGGAGTTGCCACCGCGCCCTGCTCCCGCAGGACTACCCGGGCCCAGAAAGTCCTCCGCTGGAGTCAAACTGTGGTAGAGTGTCAGTTTCTCTCACTCACCTCACCATAAGTCAGTGCACGCCTCCCTGCCCGTCCTGTTTTCGACTCCGTTCGCAGATTCCCGTTCTCAGAGCTTCCGTGCACCTCTCTCCTTGCCGAGCCACTGTGGAGGCAGCCAGCCACCGAGGGGCGGGAAACCCAAATCGCGGCTTCCAATGGCGCGGGGTCCATCCTCCACTCTGTGGCTTTTCTGTTCCTGTTCTAGCACCAGGACTGCATTCCAAGTTGGTTTCTCTCAGCCCAGTTCATTCCTGAGTCAGCAGAGCATATCTCCACCTGCTTATGTCTCCTTACTCTGCACCCTTCCTGACTTCTGAACCAAGCCTTTCAGAGAGCCTCCATAGTAGCTGTTATCTGTCCGCCATGTTCTCCTGGAAGTCCCTGCTGTAGTTCATGCTGGCCTTCAACTCACTTTGTAGCCAAGGCTGGCCTTGAATTTAAGGTACTCCTCCTGCCTCAGCCTCCCAAGGGCTGAGATTACAGGTGTGTGCCACCACACTTGGCTTCTAGGTGTTTAATTACAACTTTAGCCTTTTTTTAATGGCAAGGGAAAATGTGTCACATTACACTGTACATTTTGCAAAGATGAAGGCTACTTCTGAGGTATCTAAGATGAGTGTGGAAACAAACTAATTACAATAGTAAGTTGTCCTGTTTCCTGATGATGTTGCCAGGTGGATGCCCAGGTCAAAGAAACCCCCAGGCTCATGTTCACTGAGGACCAGCAAGGCAGTTCCCTTGAGTGGCTGATACAGAGGCTGTCTTCACATTATGTGAGCAGAGATGACCTGCAGACCTTGCTACGGGACCTCGAGCTACAGGTGCTGAAGAACATCACCCACCACCTGGTAGTGACAGGCCAGAAGCCAACGTCTGAAACAGTGGTGTCTGCTGTGAGTGAGGCAGGGATTTCTGGAATCACAGAAGAGGTGAGTGGGTGATAAAACAGCTTTAGTCCCTGTGTTGTGGTGAGACTGGTAGGCTGTGACATCTGGCCCTGAGTGGAACTCCCAGGCCATCACGAGGCTCAACTGCCAAGGCACTGCTGTCTACGTCACAGCAAGCTGCTCTGTGAAACACTTCATAGTCTCTAAATGTTTTTGTCCCAAACATCTCCACCTATGCTGCAGTATACTGAGATAACATAAAAATTTTAAGTCATTTATATATAAATTCCCAGAAATCCCCATGTTATAGTCCCAGTCATGATGATGGACTCAGTTTGAAACAGATGCTGTGACATGTCTGAGCCCTGGTATGGTGGTGTGTCATTTGGGTGCAAGACTGAGTAGGAAATTGGTGAAGCAGCCGGTTCCTGTCTTCTGAGTTACACTAAGTCTCTGGTCTTTGTTTACATCACTAAACATCCGTCTCTTCCCTCCTGCCCTGGCATTGAGCTTCCTTTTTCTGTGTCTCTCCAGCAAGCTCGTGTCATTGTGAACAATGCTTTGAAGCTGTATTCCCAGGACAAGACCGGGATGGTGGACTTTGCCCTGGAATCTGGTGGTGAGTACACAGATACTGAACCCCAAGTGGAATGGTCACCTGCAAGAGTGTGCTGGAGTGTCCCAGTCTCCTTCTGGGTGAGCCCAGTGCTGCTTCCTGGTTAGTGCCTTTTGAACACAGGTCACAGGGGTGCTGGCTACATTGGCCTATAGGGTGCACACAGCTGCGGTGGAGGTGCTGACCCCAAGGGTGATGACTGGCTGGTTGTTTACTGCATGGCAAGACAGGGATGTTATTTTGCTTCCCACAAGCTGTGGTCCATCATGTGTCACAGTCAGATGGGGGTCCATGTGTGCTGGTCCTGGGTCTGGGTCTGTACATTCTAGAGAGACACTGAGTCCCTGCTGAGACCACACACATAACATGGGTTAGGCCAGAAAGACCTTTGTCCCCACAAAGAGGCACAATCATGGGCAGATGGACAGCATCATGTCTTGGAAGAAACGGGGATTTTGCATACTCACTAGGATAAGGGAGGGATGGAGGGATGGAGACCTGAGAGGAGATAGTGATTTTAAAACCTATGCTCTGAGGGCTGGGGATTTAGCTCAGTGGCTTATGTACTTGCCTAGTAAGCATAAGGTTGTGAGTTTGATTCCTGGTACCAAAACAAACAAGCAAAAACCCATCATCTGTGTGACTTGAAGAGTCCCAGATGAGGGAACAGGAATCTAAACACATTATTCCTAGCACAGCTGATCCTATCCAGGCCTTCACCAGCTCATGGGGTCCTGATGAGGGCAGTGTGCCCCATCAAAGAGAAGCTGCCAGCTCTTCTAGGTGCAAAAGTCAAGCTCTTGATGTTCTCAATGTGTGACTTGTCCAAAATTTATTTTTGGGGTTTTGATTTTACTTACACATTTTGAAATATAGTGATTAGGAAGACAGTACTTTTATTTTAGCTCAGAGGTATCAAATGACATTTTACCCATAGGTACCAGCTGACAGTTGTCCTTTGCTTTTGGCTGTGTGTGGTCTAGAGTTGAAAATCCTGATGCCCTGTGGAGTGCTGTTCCCTATTCTGCTCACTGTGTTCAAGGAGGCTGTCCTTAAGAATGAGAGAAAACTCTTACTTAAACTGTTTTGTTTTGGTTTTTTGAGATCATCTTGCTTAATTGCCCAGGCTGGTCTCAAATTTGCCATATTCTGCTTAAGTCTCCTGGTAGCTGGGATTACAGCCTTGTGCCACTGTGTGTGGCTTCTGTTTTGTGTTGGTGGGAGGGGTCTGACAGGGGTTTTTGTTTTGGGGAAGTTTTTTTGACAGTTTTTTGAAACACAGACTTACTATATAGTGTAGCCTGGCCTTACACTCACTGTGTATCTCAGGCTGGTCCCAAACCTATGGGAATCTTCCTCCCTCAGCCTCTCAAATACTAGGAGCAAAGATGTACTGGCTGTACTGATGTACTGATGTACCTATCAGTTGTGGCTCTTTTAAAGTGTGGAGCTTACCAGTTGTTAGTATATAACAATGTTGTACAGCAGTGAGCACCAATTCTGAAGTATTCCTCTGTCGCTTGTGGTCACTCCCTGCTTCCCAGCACTCTGTTTTAGTTGGTAGTCATTGTAGCATTGTCTGATTTCAGCCTATTAGCATCTAAGGACTCGCCCACTGGGCAATTCCAGTGCTGATAAGCTTGATTCTTTTGATTCAGAAAAATGAACAAAATTTGTCTATTCAGAGCAGCTGCCCCTAACAATTGCATACTGCTAATACAAGATTTTGAAAAGTATAAGTTAGTAGTTGGAGGTTGATCAGTGTGTCCTAAGCTCCAGCGGGTGGAGTAAGAAGTTGTGGTGTGTTGCTGCACTGCAGGTGACAGGGTGAACCCCATACTGGCTTCCTCAGAAAGCAGGACAATAAACATTTCCACCATAAAGCAGTGATACATGTTTGAAGATAAATACATTTACCCCAATTACACAGCGTGTACACGTAGCCTACCCACCACGCTGCAGCCCATTCTTATGTGCAGTTTTTGTGGTTTTCAGTCAGGGGTTCTTTGTACAAGTAGAAGCTTGAGAAATTGAGACCCTGAGTGGGCCCTTGGGGTTGGGGAGGAGTCAGGTGCTGAACAGCTTGTCACTTTGTTCTAGGTGGCAGCATCCTGAGTACTCGCTGCTCAGAGACATATGAAACTAAGACAGCGTTGCTGAGTCTGTTTGGGATCCCACTGTGGTATTTTTCTCAGTCACCCCGTGTAGTGATCCAGGTGAGTGGATGGATGCCTGTCCCCAGGCCTGCACGTGCACTGTCATACATCACCTCATGACTGCCACACAGGGCTGAGGCCCCCCCACCTGGCCAAGACCCTTTTGGGCCTGATGTGTGGACACATCTTTTCAGCTCCTTCGTATGGTAAGATGTGCATATGCAATTGTGTATGAGCCATCCGTGGCAGATCAGTGGAAGTTGGAAACGCGAGCACTTCAGTGGTCTAGGCCCAGGATAGGTAGTAGGTGTCTCAGGGCCCATCTGTTCCCACAGTGACCTGGAGTCTCTGGAATAGAGGCCTCTTTGGGTTAGTCACTGTCTGTACTCTCAGTGCTACAGCATTGGCTGGTCTGGAGCTGCTGGCCTTCCTCATTGCCCTTCGCCACTATGCTCAAATGCACCACTGCTTTTCTGGGACTTTATTTTGTACTGAGGTTGTGTGAATTGAAAGGATTTATACATAATAACTTTGATTATCAATCACAGCCATTCTATCTTACTATTACTCATGACAGTTTCCTCAAGAAACTTTTAGTAATTCATTTTACATGAAATTTCCACAAGATAGCTGTCTTTCACTTAAGCACAGTTCACACGGTATGATAAGCACTGAGTAAACCTAAGCTGGGCATGGGACACGCCTGTAATCCCAGCATGGAGAGACCGAGGCAGGAGCACTGTGAGGTGACAGCAGCTAGACTAGATAAAGATTTCTCAGAAAACAAACAAAAGTATGAGTATGTAGTGCAGTGATATAGAGTATATTCCACTGGCTATAGTGCTTTCCACAGCCTTCTCGGATTCAGTGAACTTGTAGGAGGAGCTCCCAGGATTCAGGGGACACTTGATATTTACTGATTTATTACAAAGTTACTCATGAAGAGATGCCCAGGCAAGGTACCGGAGTACCCAGAGCTCCTCTGTCCCCTGCAGCACCACCCTATGTGAGCCTTTTGTGTGCTCAGCTGCCCAGAAGCTCCTCCAAACTCAGGGTTTTCTGCGCCTTCCTGACACTGGTGGTTCACACACCGTTTTCCTGGATCTGAGAGTCCTAGTGCTCTGGCCCTGTGTTGGTTTTGGAAACAAACCCCTCCTGAAGCTACCCACTGACTTGACTGCATGAAAGGTGCTCTGTCCACAGAGTCTGGGGTTTTAGGAGTCATACACCAGGATACGGGGTGGAGACCAGGTACAGCATATCCTTCACAGTGTCCACCCTGTCCCTGTAGTTGGCATTTTTGCTAATGTTATTAAAGGTGGAAAGATCTTGTCACTGGTTCCAGGACCAATTTGGTTCCCACTGTTCTGTAAAGAGTACATCTTTAAACTCTGCTTTCCTCATTGTTACCAACCTTGGGTAGAGAGAGGCATCTGGAGGCTCACATCGCAAGTGCCCAGTTTGCCCTCACATTGTGCTTTTGATACATTTACTATGTGGAAGTTTCTTTCTGTTTTATTGCCTATATAATCAAGTCTTTTTCTCTGAACACTTCTGTTTTGTTACTGGTTAAGAGCTTATTCCAACTCTAGAGTCTTTGTATTTTTCCTTTTCCTAGCCTGACATTTATCCAGGTAACTGCTGGGCATTTAAAGGCTCCCAGGGGTACCTGGTGGTACGGCTGTCCATGAAGATCCACCTAACCATGTTTACCATGGAGCACATACCAAAGACACTGTCACCAATGGGCAACATCTCCAGTGCCCCCAAGGACTTTGCCGTCTATGTAAGTGTACCCAGCTCTGGAGACAGCATGCCTCTCTTCCTTCTGGGAATGTCCCAAATGGTCCAGAAGCTAAAGGCTCAAATCTGTGCAATCGGGTAGCTCTCCGCTGCCTGCCCACACACTGAGCAAGCAGACACAGTGCTTGGGGAGACCTTCTAGTACCTCTCCAGGAAGGGCTACTGCTGCGCAGTGTTGTAACTAGTGTCCAGCTCCTGTGCTTGCAGGCCATGTTAGATGTGCCTGACTGTGAAGGACGCTCTGACAGTTACGGCAGAAAAAACCAAATGACGCAAGATAAAGCAAAATCTTATTTTCTTTTAAAACATAGAAATGACTGTAGAATTTAAAAAGAATACCTATCATCCTAGTGCCTATAGAAAGCCACCATAATGGTTTTGACTGTGTGCGTGTTTGAGACAGGGTCTCACAATGCAGTTCAGACTGGCCTTGACCTCACTTTGTAGCTCAGGCTGGTCTGGAACTCAGCACAATCCTCCTGCCCCAGTCTCCTAAATGCAGGGATTATAGGCACCCGCCATTACACTCATTTCAGTTTTGACAGTTTTGATTCCCTCCTTTTTTTGTCTTTTGAAGATAAAGATGAGTCACTACTGCTTGTAAAACTTTGTTTCCTGCCTTAAAAAAACACAAAATTTTAGTTGGACATGATGGCATATTCCTATACTCCCAGTACTCAGGAAGATGAGGCAGGAGGATTTCTCCCAAGTTCAAGGCCAGACTAGACTACAGAATGAGTTCAATCAGTCTGAACTGCATAGTGAAACCCTGTCTTGAAAAGACAAAAATAACCAACCAAATTTGCCTGGTATGGTGGCACATGCCTGTAATCCTACCACTTAGAAGGCCAAAGCAGAAGGATCACCACAGTTGAGGCCAGCCTTGACTACACAGTGAAACCCTGTCCCAGAAAAACCATCCTCAACGATTCGATGTGGAGGGGAATATGCCTGTCCTGGATCTTCTCCCTGGAATTTGTGTGCTGCCTTCGAGGAATTATATTCAGTGATAATCTCATGGCCCAGGATTTTCTCTGCAGCACTTTTTAAAGCCAGCAAGCCCTTAATGATGCATCACAAGGCAAACATTAGGGAGTCCCCTTTATCATTAGCTTACATTTTATTGTGAGTGCGACATGAAATTCATCATTTTAACAGTGGTTTCTACTGTGGTTTTAGGTGCCATCACACTTGTGCCATCCTCATCCACATGGATCTCCAGAACTCCCTCATCTTCCTTAACAAGCTCCATACCCCAGAAACACTAGTTCTCAGCCCCTACCTTCTGTTCCTTGTCCAGCTGATGTTCTCCGGGCTCAGGGGTGTCCCCAGGTTCTCCCAGAGCAGCAGGGGCCATGAGCAAATGTGGTCTGCCCTGGATGCAACCACATCTGGTTGCCTGTGAGGACCAGGGTCCTGCCGGCCTTGCGTCCCCCATGAAGGAGGTCCCCTTGCTCAGGACAAAGAGACAGTGGCTGCTTTTATTTTCTGTTGACTATGTGGCCTTGGTTTCAGGGATTAGAAAATGAGTATCAAGAAGAAGGGCAGCCCCTGGGACAGTTCACATACGACCAGGAAGGGGAGTCATTACAGATGTTCCCGGCTCTGGTAAGCACCCGCCCTACCCAGATTGTCTGTCATCAGGAACAGGCTGTCTCCACAGCCAAGGGTGGGCCCATTTCTCCAAGAGCCATGCAGATACCAAGTAGTCTGTGGTTAGGCAGGAGTTCTTAGAGTCTCACCTGGGCTTCCTGTCCTGAACCTATTATATGTGTTTAGAATTTCAGTTTCCTGTGTGACTGCTTCCTTTCAAATAACCACTAGGGGGAGTGATGGGGCTCTGGACTGTTGATCTGAAATAAACGTGCTTCCCCCTCAATTTCAGGAAATACCTGACAGAGCTTTCCAGATAGTGGAGCTTCGGATCCTATCCAACTGGGGACACCTGGAGTACACTTGTCTCTACCGGTTCCGAGTCCACGGCCAGCCCGCCCATTAGAGAAGCACTCCCTAGTTTGTACAGTTTGTAAATACCAGTACCCCAAGACACTGGAACCCTTCGAGGATGAAGGCATGCGCAGAGCAGAGGGACGCACCAGCCCTATAATAAATGTGGCATGGAAGCCGGGGGTATTGACTGACATCTTCATTGAAGCCCCATCTACATAGAGTTGGCATGTGGGTCTCTGGAAGCCCATTTGAATGTGTGGTTCTCAGACACTCATTTGTTTGGGGGATTTGTTCTTGAACATAAAGCTCCTTATATTTGTATTTCCTGACATCTGTAGTAGAGCAGATGGAATCGGGAGGTTTGATGTGTTCTTGAAGCTCTGAGGTGGGGCCTTTCACTAGTTCTAACAGGACCTCGGGAGGGTAGACCTACTCCATCTGTTAAGGCCACTCACATTTCTTTCAGGGAAAACTGTCACCTAGCTTTCAGTGGGAACTCCTTCCCTTGGCCCATCTCTAGGTCCCTGGTGCCTAGGTGGAGGGCGGAGGTGCACTGCGGGCCTAATTCGAGCAGAATTAGGCTTCACTGTGCAGACGCCTTGGAGGGAGGGTGTGTCTCCACTGAGGGTCAGTCTAATGAGCACATACCCTGGATGTGAGGGTACAGTGTAAGCAGGAACCAGGACACTGGGCCCTCTGGTGTCCTGCTAACAGACAACACTAAGGTGCCGACCCTCTGCGGCTGCTTCTGCTCCACGCGGTCGCCAGGGAGCTGTCGTCCCTGCAGCAACACTTGTGCGGCTCTCAGGGTCTGCCTTCCATCGCTGCTCCCAGCATTCTCACTTGGTTATAATTAATATTTAATATTTAGACTTTTATGAGCAGACTTTATAATTGAGATACCTACAAGGCACTTAAAAGTATTAGAGTTGTTTTACCTGAATAATTATTTAAGTCTCAATGGTCAAGACACTTGGCATTCCATCACTGCTGTACTTTCAGAAAAATCAGTGGTGCTTCCTGGTTTGTGGGGCGCTTGTGTCTGTTGCACACAGTCCCGGTACCTCTGCCACATGGGGCACTGCTCCTGGTCCTCTCAGGACTGAGGCTGAGGTGTGTGCTGTTTGGTCAGGGAGAATGTATACAGACATTTCATATACTACAAATTACATATGTAAGTTTCCTATATAAAACTAAATTTGGGGGTTGGGTGGAGATATTTTGAATATTTATTTTTAAAGATGCAACATAGGACTTTGTGCAATGTATTTTTGTAAATGCTTTTCAAAATATTTGTCTTTGATAGTGTTTTGTTTGCTGCCACCAAATTGATAAATGCTATTGAGATGTTTAAATAAAGAGTTTTAATTTTTAAAAGTGCATGTGATATTTCAGGTGAATAATAAACACTGTATTTCTTTTCTGTTTTTTCGGTCTCTGCCCATTGGGGAGTAGGAAAGGACCAGTAGTCCGCATGCTCTTTGAAGCAGCAGTCATTGGCTCTGCCAAGACTAGTATCCCTGGATCCCTGGAAGGGTACAGGGGGCTGCCCCACATCACTAGGGGCATCATTCAGTGATACACAGGTTCTGTGCCCAGCACTGCAAAAGAATCAGGCTTCAGTGAGACTGCTGGGAAGAGAAGCTGGGGCTCTGGGGAGCACTTGAGGCTTCCATTACTCAGGTAGTAGATGCTGGTACTGGTTCACTGGCATGCTGCCCTGAGGATTACTCTTGGGGTCTAAGCTTTTACATAAAAGGCAGCACATTTACCCCATTATGGGACCTTTTTTTCCAACATGTTGGAGGTCTCATCTTTTTGAGGCAATTTCACCACGTGTTCAGGCTAACCTTGAACCTAACTCACTTTGTAGCCCAGGGGCCTCAAACTGGTAGGATCCTGATCCTACAACCTCACCCTCCTAAGGGTTGAAATTACAGACCTGCACTACCATGCCCACCCGGCCCAATGAAGAATTTAACAGCCCTGGTTCCCACTGTATTGTTCATACAGTTGGGTTCCAACATACACGAGTGATGTTGTATCTGTTTCTTTTCTAAGCAGTACTAGTAGGGGTTCATCCCTGTTTTAGTTACTTGTAGTCAGTCATGGCCAATTAAACATAACTCCAGAAACAGGTCATTCATAACTCAAGCCACACTGTGTTCTGAGAAGAGGCTGCGACTGTCCAGGGGCCAGCATGCTCTGGGCTATCAGATGGGCTGTTTCTTGTTTTGCATTATTTTACTAGGTTTATTGGTACATTCTACATATACATTACCACAGTTATGATGGGGCTGTTCTCACAAATGCGCTCGTAACCTGTGAGTTGTCCCCAAGCAGAGCCACGTTATGCAATCTCCCAAGTCACAGGAGTTTGGAAAGGGTAAGTTGCTCGTTGGTATGCATCATAGGCAGCACTGCAGACTACTTTGCCAAGCTACTCCATTCTCAGTTCCAGCCGGGACACCGGGATCGCGGGGCTGACCTAAGAGGCGGCAGTCGGCATCCCCAAACAGTGGCTCAGGAAACCCTGGTGGAGGGCTCGGGGGTTTGCAGCAGGCAACTCGGACATCCTAGAAACGTTATTACAACACTGTCGGGATGTTTAAATCCCCATGCCCAGGGTAGCTGACAGGGCAGGTGTCGCACCGCCGTGTCATACAGGCCACCCGCCAACAGCCTGCATGCGCGCCTCAATACCCTGGCCCCGAGATCCTGAACTCGCCACATTGCGGAGCGTCCCGCCAAAGCTCGTAGTCCCGCTTCAGCCACGTGACTATTCGTAAGCCCCGCCCAGGGCACGTACCTTCGCCCAGCTACGGAGGCCTTCTGCAGGCCCCGCCCAGAGCACGTGGCTCCCTCTCAGCCCCGCCCAGAGGATGTGGCTCCGCCCGCTCACGCGGTCGCCCGCAGGCTAGGCGGCTCCGCCTCTGATCATGTGCCATTCACCACCATCACCACCACCCCCCCCCCGCGTGTGTGCGGTTCCTCGCGGCCACCGTAGAGGACGTCCAGAGGCCGCTGGGACGGAAGCCGGGAAGCGCCGCCGACCGCGCCTGCGACAGCGTCAGCCCTGCGCGGAGCGCCAGCCCATGGCGGCGGCGGCAGCGGCGGCGGCGGCGATGGCGGAGCAGGAGGGCGCCCGCAATGGCGCCCGCAACCGGGGCGGCGTCCAGCGCGTAGAGGGCAAGCTGCGAGCCAGCGTCGAGAAGGGCGACTACTATGAGGCGCACCAGATGTACCGGACCCTCTTCTTCAGGTGGGCGCGGGCGGCATCTTGCGCCGAGGCCCCGCCTCTACCGCCGCCGCGCATTGGCGATGCCGCGGCACGCTAGGAGATCATTGGCTCCTGCCGCTGCCTGTCCTGGACTGCCGGAGCTGGGGCGGCTGGCGGTGAACTGCGGGCCCAACCTCTTTTCGTGGCCTCCCCTTCTTTTCCTGAGCCTCGCTTCCGCGGACTTCCCACCACTGGGCAGGTTCCTTCCATCCCAACCTTTTTTCCCGAGGCCTGCGTCTTCTTTTTGACTTCTGTTTCTCCACCCTGGTCTCCAGTCTCCACTTTCCCAGCCCAGATTTCCCTTTCCCAGACCGGCCTCCCCTTCCACAACCTCATGGTCTCTGACCGTGCCGTTTTCTTCCCCGGTCTGGTCTCTGCGTTCCCGGTGTTTTCCTTCTGGGGCCTGGTCTCTTTCCCCAGACCAGCCTTCCCTTCTCTGGCCCAGTCTTCTGTGGCTTCCCCACTCTTGGCCTGGCCTTCCTTTTCCCAGCTGCTTTTTTCCTTTACCTCTTCTGTAGCCCAATCTCGCCTGGCTGGCTCAGCCACCACTTTCTCAGCTCTTCTCTTCCGCGGCCCAGCCTCCATCTTCCCTGGTCTTCCCCTTCCCAGCCCAGTCTACCAGCCCTAGTCAGTGTTTTACCTGCATTTCTTCCTGTGGACGTTCAGGTGTTAGTCTCAGATCACAGGGTTCAGGCATCTGTTTCTACTGCCAGTGGCCTCAGAGCGAAGGATAGCAGAGGCACTGGCCTCCTGGATTGTGTTTAGAAAGGCAGTCCAGCTCTGCGTCTTTGTCGGGACTACAGGACGTCAGCGGAGTTCAGTGTCACAGCTGTGGGTCCAGCCTTTCCTCTATTGTATTCCTCCATTTACACCTGCTTTTTTTTTTAATAGACATTATTTTTTAGAGAAGGTTGAGATTCACAGCAAAATTGAGCGGAAAGTGGTTTCCATATGGTCTGTACACACTGCACAACCTTTCATAGGTTAGTGCCACCACAGTGCAACATTCAAGTTACCCATTGTGTCACCCAGGGTACTCCAGCATGGTGGGACATTTTCCATTGTCACTTCTTTGAGCATCCTGGTTTGGTGTGTTCTGAGAACAGGACATAGTTGTGGAAAGCAGTGTCCACTAGCTTTATAAGCACTAGTCAGATCATCTTGAGTTTGTAGGCCATTTTTCTGGGTGTTTTAGAATGGAGAGAAAGGGGACTCGATTTCATTTGGATTAGCAGAATTAAGAGTGAGCCTCTGCAAGCGAAGGAGTGACACAGTAAGAAAGGATGCTGGGTCTGGGCCACGTGTGGGAGTCTTCAACCTGGAGAGCTGTGCACTGTTCTTCCCAGAGCCCTGGCCTGTGCTGGGCATTGTAGGGAGGAACTGTGTAAGGCCCTTGACTATCAGGGAGAAAGTCTTGACGTCCGGTTATTAGATTGTCCATTTGTTAGATTTCTGATTTGGCCAGGTTTAGGGGCCTTGGGTTTAGAGTCACTGATTTTAAGATTAGGTACAATACTACCTGATCTCCAGTTACCTAAACAGCAGTCTTGTTCTGGAATTTTCCATGTAGTAAATCCTGACACTATAATACAAATCAGTTAGGCTGTATGTGGGTTTATGTGGTTCTGTGAAGGCTTTCTTTTTTGGAAGCTTAGTTAATTGCTTTAGAAAAAGGTTTGCTCTTCTATTTAGTTGGAAGATGATATTTTGCTTCTACTAGAAATAAGTCCTTAACTGCTGCATAGTTAGGGCTTAGTATTAATGGGAGGCGAGCTGTCACCAGATACAAACTAACCAGATCCCTGGGTGTGACAGCACTCTAAGTCTACCTATTATGGCAGGATCAAGTCCTGAGATGCCATGTGCAGGGGTTAACTGAAACACTGCACCTCTCAACAACAGCCAGTTGTAACTGAGCACACTTCACAGCTGACAGGATTTGCCTGATGTCTGCTGTTCTTGGAATTTGTATATAAATATTTGCCCGGTGATTAATCAACAGAAGTAAGTCTTCTCAAAATAAAGTGTTCCTCGACTTAAATTGGCCCTTCTGTGACTAGGGATTTGCTTATTTTAGCATTTAAGTGACAAGTTCCTTTGTGGAGGGTGTGTTTCAGCCCAAGACATTATAGTGGACAAGTTCTACCTGTTTCACTGCCTTTGGGCCACACGTCCCAGGCAGTTGTCACCCCACTGTTCCACCCAAGAAGCTGAGCAGGTGAGTATAACCCATTAATTGTAACCCATTTTCTGGGTGAGTTCCACATAGGCCACAACCAGGCGTGGGGTACACCGTCATCTTGGTTTGTGGAGAAGTCAGTATCTCCAATTACTCTTGTAGTGTCTATCAGTAAACATATATCTGTATGTTTATGTCTTAGTGTTTACATAAAGGGTACAATCTGACAAGCATTGACATTTGAATGCACACATGTAACTATCAAGACATAGAAAGGTTTTTCTTTCACCTCTCTCTCCTGGCAGCTGCTGTCTGCTGTGGTCACCACAGGTTGGGCTGTGTTTTCTGCAGATTTTGAGCTGGGTGCATGTAAATTTATGTTGCTGTGTCTCTTCTGTGGTGTATTGTGGTACCGTTTTAATTCACTTTCAGCCTACAGCAGTTTAAGATGGAGATGAGGAAGCAGTGGATTACTGTCTTTGGATATGTGCTGCGCTGAAGCTGGCTGTGGTCTTTGTGCCCCTGACTACCTTGGAGGTTGCTCCATTGTGTCCGCAGTGCCTGTGGTGGAAGGTCACCTTCTCCCAAACCTTGTGTCTGCCAGGAGGAAGAGGGGACGTGTTTTATAAGCCTGTTGGACTGACTGGTAGTACCTGGCAAAGCCAGAGTGCTTCGGTGCCACCATTTAGGCTTTCAGGGACCTTAATTTAACTGCAGTATTTGCACAGTTTGAAGATCTTGATGTGGAGAAGCTAGCCTAGGAGGCAGCGGCTTGAGGTGTCAGGCCTGGCCCGTGTGGGTCCATCCTCCTCAGGCCTCTGCCTTATCTGAGCCACTTGGAAAGTGGGTCACCCCACTGTGACTTCCTGAGAATGTTCTACACTCACTATAGCCCTGTGCATGAGGCAGCTGTGCCTGTCAGGTGGGTCCTTAGCGTTTCAAGAAACAGTGTCTGGCCCGGCAGCATGTACTTGTGGCCATGTATTGGGACGTGGCAGTGTTGTGCCTCACAATCATTCTGTGGTTACAGGGAGTTATAAAACATCTTTGTCACTGTATGCTTAGTATTCAGTACTGACTGATCTCAGCACTGCATGTTCAGCCTTGGATTGAACCATCGTAGACCAGCTTCCATCATTGAGATACCCAGAGCTCTGCCTGTCATCTGACACTGCACTGCATTCATCTCTAGTGCTGATGCTTGATTTCTGTGTTCTGTTAGCTTACTTGCTGTCTCATTTATTCTTTTATTTAGTTACATATTTGAGTAATGGTCTCACTATGTAGCTCAGGCTGGTCCTGATCTCCCTACGCATCTTGAAGTTGTGGTAGCTCTACTTCACCCTCTTGAGTGCTGGGATTACAGGTGTGCGCCACCATCACCAGCTCTTCTTTCTCCTTCAGTGGGACCAAAAAATGAGTATTTGCACAGGCACATTGCTCTGTGGATAAGACATAACTGCCATAGGTCCATTTTTAGCTGACAGCACCAAAATACACCAGTTCAGCTGTCTTTTGCTAGCTGGTGCCAAGTCTGATTTCAGTGTGTGAAAGGTGTTTTCGATGTCTGCACAGTGTCTTGTATGGTTCAGCTTTTGAAAGACCATTTGGATGAACTGGGGCCTGCTCAGTGTGACTCAGCATATGGAAGAGAGGCTGAAGTTGGGATTTGTGCTGCATCCAGCATGGCTTAACCTGTGGACAGGCTAGTTGGATGGGTCCAGGTCCATCCTGCATTCAGTGCAGCACAGCGTGTGGAGGAAAGACCTTATGGATGGGTTGGTATCTTCATGGGGTCCACTGTGGCAGCACAACAGAGGGCAGGCTATTTTGATGGCTAGGAAGGTCAGTGCCTCTCAGCTCTCTATTGGTCTCGAAGACACCATCCTACATAATCACCCAGAACTGAACATCCTTCCCAGCTCCTAGAACACTCTAATGGAAAAAGAAGTTTGTTTTCTTCATTGCCTGAGCCACTTGTCTTTTCTTGATCTGGCTATAGGTGATTCTGATGAAGTAAAGACCAGTATGTGTGAAGCTGTGATGCAGAGTGCTGGTTGTAGGACTGTGGGCCCTGATAGGGGGCCGCACTGGCCCAGGCCCGCCTGAGGGCATGCTGCCGTGATTCCTGGCACCCCTCTGGGAGGCAGGTTTCCATGTCTCAGAAAATTGGTTCATCTGTCTCTCAAGAAGCAATTTTTCTTTGAAATTGTAAGAAGTTGTTTCTCACTAAGCCTACGAGTCTAGACTACTTTGGGTGTTGTACATGAGCAGACCCAAACCAGTGTTGATCCCTGGGCATAAGTGCATATGGGTCTGTGTTCACAAGGGTACATGTGAGGCCATGTCCCTCTGAGTGAAGGTTATGCTTGCCAGCATAGCCTACGGCAACGCCTGACCCCAGCTCCATGGCAGAGCCAAGAGAAGGCAGCTTACACTTCTCTTCACATCATATGGCAGCCTGAGGGGCTACCCTTGGTGTCTGAACACCCTTGAGAACAAACTGACAGGACCCATGGAGCCTGTGACTTGCAGGCCAACTGGTGGCTTCCTTCTCTGTGTAGGCTTTTGTCAGCTGGCCCTACTCCAGCAGCCACAACGTGGGATCCCCTTTTGGGGACCTGTGTCCCCTGTGTGGTGGGGTGTTGTTTTGTGCCTTCTCTGACATCATGGTCTGCCGTGTCTGTCCCATGTTACTGCAAGATGCTCTCCCATGTTTGCTCCTGGCGCAGCTTGTCCAGGAGTCTGGGCTCAGAGGCAGAGGCTGCTCAGTGGCATGGTGTTTTCTGATGAAGACAAGGTGCTACCGCTGGCCATCAAGCAAGACATGCTGGGCCCACCTGCCAAGTGGCCGTTACGCTTTGGGTGTACAGAATGACACCTGTCTTTCACACTTCTCATAGGCAGTGTTTGCACAGCACAGAGGACCACCCATGGGGACAGATGGAGCATGTTGGGGCAGTTCTGGGGGGCACTGGCACAGAGGTTGAGCTGAGCAGGGCAGGCTAGTAAAATTACACTTGTCATCGTCTTTGTTGGACCCTGTCATGAAACCCCACTGTCCTTCAGCTCCCAGACAGAGACAACTGCCTCCGTTGCTCTCCACAGAGCAACCACTGTGTAGTCCCCAGGTCTCTGCTCCTGAAACCCGGGAACGATTCCCAGGAGGCAGAGCCTGTTTTGGCTCCAGGCCTGTTGGGCCCACTTGTGCCTGAGCCCACCAACAGCAGGACCTGTGTGTCCAGAGACATCCGGAGGCTCCTATAGGACTGTTGGGGCGAGAGGGTCTGGACTGGAGGCCACAGAATGGGCCAGTGGGGAAGGTTCTGGCTTTGGCAAGGGCTTGCCTGGTAGGTGGCTCCTGTCCGTTTGAAATACCTCAGTTTCCACCTCCATGATGAGGCTGACGACATTCCTGGGAGTGCTCACTTTCATAGAGCCTTGCCCCAGGATTAATCCCCTACATGGCTATGTGTCCTGGGCTCCCTGCTCACCCTCTCCCTCTTACAGATACATGTCTCAGAGCAAACATGCGGAGGCCCGAGAGCTTATGTACTCAGGAGCGTTGCTTTTCTTCAGTCACGGCCAGGTAAGTGCTTTGGCTCTTCCCTTGGTCTTTCAATTCTGGGAAAATTGAGGTGGGAGGGACCCAAGAGAGACCTGGTATAGAACATCAGGGTATCCCTGCTGTGGGCACTGGTGGCAGGGGGTGCTTGAGCTCCCACAGCAGATAGTTTGCTCTCAAGGGCCTGTCAGTTTAAGCCCTGTTGTGCTGTAGTTCTTCATGCTGTTTGGCATGGGGCTCTGTGTGTATATTCCTAGTAGAAAAAGTCTTTTCCATTTGTTTGCTCCTAGGCTGGGTGACAGGTGTGTTCCTAGCTATCTGCAGAACAAGTTTCTGCCAGCTGTGTCTGACTGTTCTGAACAAATCAGGCCTTTGTTTCTAACTGGATGATTTCTATTTTTACATGTTGTACAGCAAAACAGTGCGGCAGACTTATCTATGCTGGTCCTGGAGTCCCTGGAGAAGGCAGAAGTGGATGTGGCTGATGATCTGCTGGGTGAGGCACCGCTGTGTGGTGTGCTTTCACGCAGGAGCCTCTTCCTGTGACAGTCGTGCAGACCCTGGAGGCACATCACTCCGTTTGCTGCCAGTGCACAGAGCACATGGGCACTAAGGCAGGACCTGCCATGCTTTGAGGGTGGGGTGGGGTGAGGTGATGCTGTCACCTCCCAGCACAGGAGCCTCTGCACTGACGGTAGTTGACCTACCTGCGCTCTGACAGAGATCTGCTGGCCAGCTGGCTGGTGAGGAGGCCTGGCCCATTGTGTGAGCTGCCCACTGGAAGAGGAGGGGCCTCAGTTGGCCACTGCTACTCTGAACCCTAGCCTGGTGGATGCCTTGCTGTCATCCCCAGGTGGCTGGCTCCTCCTGGTTCCTCTGCTGAGAGTCTGTCTGTGTGACTTTCAGAAAACCTGGCTAAAGTGTTCAGTTTGATGGACCCAAATTCTCCGGAGCGAGTGGCATTTGTGTCCAGAGCCCTTAAGTGGTCCAGTGGAGGATCTGGGAAACTGGGCCATCCCCGGCTCCATCAGCTGCTGGCCCTCACACTGTGGAAAGGTAGGCCTGGGAGTCTGGAGGTGTGTGGGGACAGCAGGGTCTTTTGCCATCACAGGCCGGCAGCCATTCTCCCTGGGCTCCCCAGGGCCCCTCTGTGCATCATCAGGACCCCACCCAGCTCACGAGGACAGGCTGCGTGTGCTGACATAGATCAGCTTTCTTCAATGCCCGAAGCAGACATTTTTGCTGTTTTATGAAATGGCATAGGTTGCTTATACGCTACAGTCCTCTCGCCCAGCATAAAACAGCTCTCTAATAGCGTCTTTTTCCTTAGTACCTCATTTGCTGATGAAGCATTTGTGGGATCATTCAGCCAATAGGATGGGATCATGGGTGTCCTGCTTTTGTGGGTAGGTTCAGTGTGCCCAGCTGTGAGTCTATGCCTGGTGGAGGAAGAAGTGTTAAGCAGATGTTCTTTGATACGACGAACAGGGTTGAAAGAACTTCGTTCCCAGGGGCCTCCTAGCACTGGATGGTGTTGGGTCCTGCCTGGCTCTAGAAAGGTCGGCATGCTGGCTCCTGAGCAGGCCTTTGCCTACAGCTATTAGCCTGATGAACTGTCCAGCCTAGAGTGCATAGCACAAGTTCACAGGGAGGGAAGGCAGTGGAGATGGGGCAGCAGTGGAGGTTCACAGTAGACCTGCAGGCCACTGACACCTCTTGCTGTGGGAGCCTCAGGAATCCTGAGTGTGGCTTTCCACAAGAAATGAGCCAGGCTGGCTATGTGATAGCAGCTTCTAGAGCCAGTAGTGGTGAGACAGGTAGCTGTCAGGATCAGCATCTGCTATTCCCAAAGTCAGCCATCCAGGGGTCCACCAGGTTGACAGTCCTGGCCCCTAGCATGCCACCAGCCCTGGTGATGCAGAGATTTGGCTTGCCCTGCTGCTGGCTCTCTCAAGGTGGGGACTTACGTGGTGGGGACACAGCAGGTAGAGGGACAGTGTACTTTAGGTGCTGCCCCTCCCTTCCTCATAGACACTGGTGTGCTCTGACAGCCACAACTATATGAGTGGGGAGAACACTGGGTCCTGGCACAGGGAGGTGCTCCATGCAGGCCCCCACTGGGCTCCTGGCCTTCCTCTAGTGCCTTCCAAGTTCCCCAGGGTGGGGGCACATGGCCACCAGGGCCTCTGCTTTCACCAGCTCTGTGAGCCAGTTCCTCAGTATCATCATGGCCCCTCAGACATCCTGTCTGAGAGTGAGCAGGCTGCCAGCTGAGCCAAGACTCTTGGTTGTGAGCACATGGAGCTCCACAGGGCAGGAGACCACATCCAGTTTGGATAAGTACAACGTATGCAGTGGGAGATCTGCCTGAGACCATCCCGAGTCATAGCTTCCCTTGGGACAGGGTTGTGCTGTGGGACATCTTTGCACTCACTGGGAAAGAAACTGCATGATGTGCTTCTTCCCCCACCCCTGGCACCATGGGTGTTCCTACTACCTGGGTGCTCTTGAGACACCAGCCCCTTGCAACTTCCTGGATGAGGCTATGGCATAATTGAACCCTGGGGTTTTTCCTCATGTAGATGCCCAGAAACCAAAAGGTTTGGGGTATGCAGCACAACAAATGGCACATTATGACTGCACAACATCTAAGTGCCCTTGAATGGGGGAAGGAGCTCCTAGGATAGATATCAGGGGAGAGGCCTCCCAGATAAGGAAAGGAGTGCTTCCTGGGCAGGGTGGTGCTCTTTGATGCTATAACATGGCGGTGGGTGTTGCAGTCATAGAGCTGTCTGGGCCTGGCCTAGGGCAAAGCTCTCCCAGGAGGAGAGGGCGTAGCCTTGAAGGATGGTGTGGAGCCTGCACCTGTCTTCGGGTGATAGAATGGGATGACCCTCAGGAGTGTTTCCTGACTTCAGGGCTGGCAGGAGAAATAACCAGCCCAGGCTTGTCCTTGCTGCTGTTGAGATTCACGGTGCTCGTAGGGTTGGCCCATGTCTTAGGATTTTGCATGCAGTTGCTATTAAGGTATGATGTTGCTCAGTTCTGAGTGCACTGTTGGTCTTGACAGCAAGACAGAAGCACCTTTCCGCAGAGACCCATGTGAGTAATCAGGTAAGTCAAATGTTAGATGTGCTCAGCTGTTCCTTCCAGTTATGCCCTTGGTGTTGGTTGACACAGCCTCCCTCAGCTTGCAGAGAACAGGTCTGTGGTGGCTGAACTTCTTCCCCCTGTTCCACTGTTTGGTCTTTGAGGTCAAGACAGCCAGTGATTGGCGTGAGCAGCACAGTGCAGCTGATCGTCTTATCTGTCTCTGAGCAAAGTGAGGAAGCGATAGAAGAACATCAGGAAAGGTGGAGCCTTTTGAATCTGTGCGACCTTATTTTTACCATGAATCTGTTTGTGTTCCCTTCTCGATCCTTTGCAGAACAGAACTACTGTGAGTCTCGGTATCACTTCCTGCACTCCACGGATGGTGAGGGCTGTGCCAATATGCTGGTGGAGTACTCCACTGCCCGGGGCTTCCGCAGCGAGGTGGACATGTTCGTGGCCCAGGCTGTGCTACAGTAGGTTCAGGTTCAGTGTGACTGTGTTTGGCCTGTGCCTTCTATCAGTGCCTGTGCCCTTGCGTGCCATACTGGTGAAGTGCGGGTCCTGGAGTGGGTGCAGAGCTCAGGTGTCCCATGTTGATTAAAGACTCACACACTTTAAGAAGGGGTTGTGTGCTTTTCCCAGGCTGTCTGCCCAGACCAGTCTGTGCAGGATGATGAGGCCTGTACTCTGTAGTATGCTCTTGCCAGGCTGCCACATCTCCAACTTCCTTTTCACAGTCTACCTTGAAAGTACTGAAATATGTACCAAGTTGACAGACTTCCAGAGCATGTCCCCTCCCAGGTCCTCTTAGGCATTCTTGGCAGTAGTGGGACAGGAGACTGGAGAAGCTAACCTTTCTAGGAGAACATGTTCTCCTGAAATAACGGATCAGTGGGCGTGCACTGGTATTGGAGCACAGAGCCCTGTACGTGACTGCGCCGAGTCACAGAGCCCCTGCACCTCCATGCAGCTGACATCTGTGACTTCAAAGAAAAACAGCTGGGCAAAGTGGCGCATGCTTGTAATCCTAGCAGTCTGGGAGGCTGAAGCAGGAGGATTATAAATCTGAGTCTGAGCCCATTGTGGACAACTTTGCAAGACCCTGTCTCAAAATAAAAATGGGCTGGGGGCTGGGGATTTAGCTCAGTGGCTCGAGCACTTGCCTTGTAAGCACTTGCCTTGTAAGCACAGGGTTGTGAGTTCAATTCCCAGTACCAAAAATTTAAAAATAAAAAAAAGAATGGGCTAGGAATATAGCTCAGTGTGAAGACCCTGAGTTGAGTCATCAGTACTATGAAACAAAAAAATAAAAACAAAAAAAAAACCACCTCTTAACCCAAGAGACCTTGACCTGGCTTTTCCACAAGCGGAGCAGCCATTCCTCCTCTGGGGTGGCCAGCCCTGTGTAGGCAGATTGGAGCAGGGCTGAGGAAGATGTTGTGGGTGGTGTTCTGTGGACTTTCAGCAAACCACATTTCTTTCCCAAGTTGAGTGCTGCTCCCGTGAGTTGTAAAGATCATGACCTTGCATCCCTGTGAGGGGCACAGGCCTCCTGGACCTTGGCAGCCTGATGAGAACCCCATGTGGGCTTGCACAGGTGCTGCTACTGACTGAGGCCCTCCATGCCTGCAGGAACTTGAGGGGGTCAGTGTTCATGTGAGCGTCTCTAGGATCCAAATCTTTATCAGCATGGCACCCACTGGAGTATTCTGATTTCCAGGTTTCTTTGTTTAAAAAACAAAAACAGTGCATTGGTAGTCTTCACAACATACACACAGAAGCACCCGTCGATCGAGGACGGTCCCCCATTCGTTCAGCCCCTGCTCAATTTCATCTGGTTCCTGCTCTTGGCTGTGGATGGGTGAGTGTCCATCAGGCGCTTAGTGCTTTGGCCAGGTTAGCATGGGTGTCTGGCACTGTTTGCAGATGTGTGACACAGAGAGAGTGAGTGTGTGCCAGAGGGCGAGTGTGGTTCTGCGCTGCTCACAGCACCACGTCTCTGTCCCCATCCTGTTGCAGCGGCAAGCTGGCAGTGTTCACAGTACTGTGTGAGCAGTACCAGCCGTCCCTCCGGAGGGACCCGATGTACAATGAGGTGAGGGTTCTTGCTACTGGGCTAGGCAAGGGATGGGGCAGCCACAGAGAGGAGGGTCCTCAGTCCATGGGCAGCCCGCCCCGACCCTTGGCAGGGCACTCCATCTCCACTCGCTGACCACTCCTGCCTCTTGCAGTACCTGGACAGGATAGGACAGCTGTTCTTCGGTGTGCCGCCCAAGCAGACATCTTCTTACGGAGGCTTGCTAGGTGAGCTTATGGGCTCCCACTTCCTCTAGCCACCTGGAGGACCACTGGGGATTCCCCAAAATTGAGTCACCTTCCAGATGCCCTCTCCTAGGGCCACCACGGAGGCCAGGTCTCAGCTTGGCTGCCCTTGGTGGGGATCTGAGCTGAGTGCAGGCGTCTCCTACCAGCCGGCGTGGTCCCTGGAGCAAGGATGGCTCATAATCTGTGCATCTTGAGTGTTTTACTCTGTGAGTGGCACCAGGTGGTGCCCGTGGTTATACCACGTGCTGTTCTTTGGTGGAGCACGAGGTGTGGTGTGGCTCTACACTCCGCCTTTGTGCTTTGACAGGCAGTGCTTCCATGTGTCACTGTCAGCCCTGTACCTGGGGGCTTGAGGCTGGCTAGGTGTGCATTTTTTTGTCGTGGGGTTTTGGTTGGATTGTTTTGCTTTGTTTTTGGGTGATACTGTGGATTAATTATGTCTCCAGTCCTTTTTTATTTTTCATCTTGAGGTAGTATCTTGCTATATTGCCCAGGCTGGTTGAGAACTTGGTTCCTCCTGCCTCAGCCTCCCTGAGGGCTGGAATTACTCTGCTCAGCTCTCCTTTTCTCTGTGTAATTTGGATAGAGAGTGCTAGGTTGTATTCCAGGGTATTGCTACTGGGCTAGACAAGGGATACAGAAGTATTGAGGTTACTTTAATGGTTTCCCATGTAGTTAGGAAGTTTTTTTCCCCCTGCTTCTGGAGTTTGCTTGTGGAAGGTGTGAGCCAGAAGCTCACTGCATCTCAGTTTGGGATGTCTCCAGTGTCTCCAGTGTCACCTGGTTCTCCCAGTTTGTCTCCTTCCCAGAGCTCGATTATGTGCACAGGGTGAGGTGCAGATGGGGTGAAGCAGGATTCTGTGTGGCCCTCAGGTGCCTGGAGAGCCACACTACACCCTTGTATGAGTTTGTGTTTATAAGGTGTTACTCTGGCGAGGCATCACGCGGTGTCAGTGGCAGTGGTGACAGCTGCACGGGGGCAGTGGGAGTGGCGTTGGCGTTTTGTCTGCAGCGTCAGGCATCGGGGGCTGTGCTCATTCTGCGTGCACTGCCAGCCCCTATGAGACGGTGGGTTCTGTGGGTCGGCTCCTGATCTGTGTTGTGCTGTCTCCCTCTAGGAAACCTGCTGAGCAGCCTCATGGGCTCCTCAGAGCAGGAGGAGGGGGAGGAGAGCCAGGACGACAGCAGCCCCATCGAGCTGGACTGAGCTGCTCAGCCTGCGTGGAGATGCCCGGCCAGTGCTGCCCAGATGGCTTCAGGCTCGAGGCCCGGAAGGTGGCTGCTCATACCTGGTGGCTCCTGCACTGCAGCCGGCAGGGGCTGCCTTGCAGTGTCTGTCCCTATTTATGGAAGGTGGCGGAGTGCTGCACGGTGGCCTGGCGCTGTGTGACTGGGATGCAACTCGAGGCTCCTGCAGCCGACTGTGTCCCCTCAGCTCGATCCACAATAAAGCACAGGCCCTGCTGCGTCTCCCTCTGCCGTCCTTGTCTCTGGTTCCTTGGGGAGGGCTGTAGGGCTGGCGGCCTGGTGTCCAGCACAGCCCATGGTGTGGACCAGGAAGCAGTGGCCACCAGATGTGGACTGAGCTGGGACTTCTGCGACCTCACAAGTGAGACCAGTTTCTTGTTTATATTTTTGTTTCGAACATGGGGTCATTTTGTAGTCATGGTGTCCCTCTCCCTGTTGGAATGCGTCAGCTGTAGGGCCAGCCCGTGCCCGCTGGTCTTCCAGGCCATGGCGCTCCCCCACTCTCACCCCATGTGGCCAGTGAGGTTCCTCTGCGCAAGTCCAGAGCCAAAGCCCCGCTGGCCTCTGGGTGCCTCGATGCATGTCCCAAAGCATCATTTCTGAAAGGGTGCCGCAGAACGTGCCCTCCATGATGCAATATTTATTTTTATTGGGTAATAGGTTTCTCTAACCTAACATTTTAGGTGTTAACCAAATAACCAGGAATGAGCAAATCTGTCCTTTATCACTGATAATATTCCACATTACCAGTATAATTATAAAGGGCAACACTTTATTTTTTCACAATTAAAATAAGAGTTGTAGATTAATACACAGTGACCATGCATGGGAAGGAGGGAAAAATACGTTATTTACTGTAAAAATGGAATTTAAAGGGAGGCTTGTGTCAATGTTGCGTATAAATAAATCCTTTGTACTGGCCTGTGCAGCACTGGTCCTTTTTGGTGAGCTGGGGCTGGCATGGCCCTGCTGTGGGCCCAAGTGGGTGGGGGCAGCAGTGGTGCTTTGACTGCCCAGTCCTGCCTCACTCCAGGGAGGCCCAGAGCCTCAGGTCCTGGGGTGTGGCTGAGCCCCAGGAGGAAGTGTGTGCTGCGCTGCTCACGTGGGTCTGTGGCCTGCACAAGTGCAGACAGTGTGCCCCTGTCAGGAAGGTGGCAGAAATCACTTGATTTTAGAAATAAACATGTAATTTTATTGAAATTAAATGTGCCAGCTAGTGTGTGTCACAGCTCCAGAGTGCAGGCCACACTGTCACTGCTGGACTCCCATGGGGCAAGGATTTCTCCATGAGGCAGTGTCAGAGGGTCACTGTGAGAGGGACGGGGACAGTTGGAGAATGGCTGTGGAAGGAGCCAGGCAGAGTTCCCCAGGCCCAGGTTGGAGCACTCTGTTCTGCTGAGATGCTGGTTTGGAATTCATGACTTGAATCCCGCAGTTGATGTACTGAGGATCAGTTTAAGCAGAAACCTAATTTTGTTTATGCGCATTCACAAGATTGACCTTATGTGAACACAGACAAGCCAGAGCCCAGTGGGAACTGGCCTGTCTCCACACTCAGTAGTGCCCTTCCACAAACCTCAGGATGCATTCAGTGAAATGCCAAGTTTATTGTGGCACTGGTATGCTTGTGACCATGTGGCAAGGAGATGCCATTGTCTCTAGGCCCTGGTCCAGACTGCAGTGCCATGTTGCCCTGCTGAGGGCACGGGCCCAGGACCCAGTGACCCCTTTGCAGGGGCTATGGTTTCCGGCCTCCTCTGAGAACTTCATCTCTAACCATTATAGACTTATTCTGTGGCTTCTTCTAAAAATGTTGCCAGGTAAACATGGGTTCCTGTGCACACGTGAACACACATGCAGACATGCCTGCACAGCACATGTCCATAATGGGGATGTCTGGGCTGGCGCACAGGGGCTGTGGCAGCACTGGCCCTGCAGTTGTGTGGACACAGGCTCAGGTCTGGCTTCTGGCCTGGCACTCTGCATCTGAGAACCTGGTTGGCATCTGCAGCCAGCTGACTCGTTGAGCACTGGCCCAGGTGAACCCCAGCCACTCCCAGGGCTGGGGGAACGGTAGGTTCCTGCTGATGTCATCACAAGGGTAGCCACCTTAGGCACCCCAGGTGGGGTTGGGTGACCTTTACCTCCCCAAGGCCTGTTTTCCCAATGAGAAGTAGGAGGAGGACACAAGAGGGCCTAGGAGCCGAAGCTGTGTGCAGAGGCATCTGTGTCCCTGCCACTCTACCCGCCCTCTGGGCTCGATCCAGGATGCAGACCTTGCCTGAGACTCTTGGAGGGCCTGCCAGGAAAGGGCCAGCCCATGGCCCCTGTCATAGACCTAGAAATAGCTAGGGCCAGAGTGGGTACCGGGGTGGTAAGGTAGATGCACCCTGGGGGCTGCCTCTTCCTCAGAGTTGCAGCTTCTCCTACACGATGGGCAGCCCCCGCCCCCTGCCCCCAGCTCAGGTCCAGGAAACACGGGCTTGTCACGGCAGTCTGCCCACTCTACCCAGGTGGAAGCTGCCAACTTGTCCCCTACCCCACCTACACACAGAAGGGACCATGCCAGAGCCACACTTTATTCCAGAACGTGACGCAGGCACAGACACCAGTTCAGGAGACTTCTCCCAACTCCCCTGGGGCAGGTGTGTCCCCACTGCACGCTCCCCCCTGGCTATCCTGGGTGACCAGGACGCAGCATGGAAGGAGATCAGGTGAGAAATAAATACAGGGTGGCTTTAACTACTGGCCTGCCAGCAGCAAGCAGGGCCCAGCTGGGGGAGCCAGGCTGCAGGGTTGCCCCACCCCTGGGGGGCCATCATCCTAAAGGGCTCAAAGACCACGAGGCCAGGCTGGTGGACATGGGTTACTGGCCAGGCCGAGCACCGAGCTGGATACCCAGATACCCTGGCATAGCCCCAGTTGAGTCTCTGGCCCACCTACTCCAGGCCAGCTGCCCAGGAGCACTGGGACCTGTGTACACACAATCCCTGGGGGACCCGTGACTGACACGGCAGGCACCCAATAAATACTTGTTGCGGTGGGGGAAGAGGGAGGGAGGCATGCGGCAGACCCTAGTCCCCAGCAGCCTAGCTGAGGTCCCATTCCAAGGCCTGGCATGACTTATAGCCAGGCTGGGAGCATGGAGTTACTGGGGCTGCCCTGATGGGGGCATGGGCAGGCAAGGGTGTGGATCGGCCAGGCGTGATCAGCAGCAACGTTGACGGGGCTGAGGTCACCTGCTGTGAGGTTCCAGAGACTCACGTCCTAGTGGCCGAAGCTCAGGCCCTACCTGGCCATGCCCTGCTGCTCCAAGGAGCAGAGCTGGCTAGGGCAGCTGGCCACGTCCTTGCCAGCCAGTCATGTGAGTCCAGGGTCCTCAGGCCATGGATGTCTCTTGCTAGGGCTTATGCTTGAAGTGGGCTTCCACTGCAGAAGGAGACAATGTCCCCATGTCAGAGTGGCCACTCTCCTAGGCTCTCCCATGCTACCCACCTGGCCCCCATCTAGCACAGGAAACCAGCCACAGGGTGCAGTCAGAGCCTCCCCACTCCTGCCCTCACCTGCGTACTCCTGGGGCAGCATAGGCCTGTCTACCACCTTCTGGAAGGCTTCCACCCACTCCTTCCGGTCAGCCTCCGTCTCACAGGTGAACAGGAACTTGCGGTCAGGTGTGACAATGGTGATGCCATGTGGCCAGTGGTAGCCCTGGGTGGATGGTGGGAGCCCCTCCAGCACCGTGTAGCCGCTCTCCTTGCTGCCGATGAAGACCTCCCCTCGGGCGAAGGCATCCTGCAGGGGCCAAGCTGGAGCTCGGGCTGGGCACCTCCTGTCCCTGGTGCCCAGCCCACATGGGCAGGAAGGGGACCTCACAGGTCTCTAGGGCTGCCTTTCCACTCCCCAATGTCCTCAGAGCTGGGTGTAGCCTGAGGCCAGGACCCTGGAAGATGAGCCTCCCCTCAGCAGCAAGAGGGCGGGCAGACCCTCCTTACCAGGGGATCTTTGAAGTACATGAGCCTCCGGTCATCCATGGTGAACCAGCGCTTTCGGAAGCCCTCCGTTTGCTGTGGTTTGAAGGGCAGGTGAGCAGCTGACCAGGTGAGGTGGCCCTGCCCAACTGGCCACAGCTCACTCTGGGAGGGTGGAGCCTTCGATCCCTTGCTCACATTGCTGGGCCACGCTCTGTGTGCCACCCAGTTGCACAGTAGGTGTGGCTGGTACGGTGCGTCCCCAGATACAGGACGCACACCCTGCACCTCCCCAGGAACAGGTGCCCCAGCTATGGGCCAAAGGGGCCCTGAAGAAAAGGGCCGCCAGGGCTGTGGTCCCTGCTGGCCAGGCACCATGGGGACCCACTCGGGGCTTGGCCATTCAGCACAGCAGCTGGGAGGGCACTGGTATTCCAGCCCATGCCTCACTGTGCTCTGTCCCTTGCCCCTGGACAAGCTGATTGTGGTCTGCAGCCCCACCCCAGGAACAGGCAGGAAGACAGTGGACCTGGGTGTGGCCTAGGCAGCCTATCCACGCCTTCAGACCTACCTTGGGCCCTGTCTTCTCCATGTAGCCTTCCTTCAGGTAGTTTCTGGACAGCTTCGGCACCAGCTGGGGAGACCAAGTGGTCAGACAGGTTGGGGGGGGGCATCTGGGCTTCCCCTATGGAAACTGGGCCCAGTCCCCCACCCAAGGTCAGGGAAATGCACCCCTCTAGCCATGCTCCATCCCTGCTGCTTTTTGCCTCGCCCCACTGCCCACGTGACTCCTGTCCCAGCCCATCCTTTCTGTCCACTGCACTGAGGGTGACTGTGGTCACTTTGGGGACAGATGGGACCATGTGTGTCCTTGATAACCCCACCCCAGCCTAGGGGCACAAGGGCTAAGACGTTCACACCCCACACCATGACCTCAGGGCAGCCACTCACGTCCAGGTCGCTGGCCCCCGGAAAGGCCACCTGCAGGTAGTGGAAGCGGGCAGCCCGCAGTGCATTGAACCAGTCCACCATCTCCTGGGGACAGAAGGCTTTGTGAGCCATGGGCTCTGCTGTCCCTCCAGACCAGTCTGGCACAGAGCTATGGAGGACAGGCTGCCAGGCCACCACAGCAAGATGGCCCAGGGGCAACACTGGGTAGTGGGCAGGGTGGCTGCAGTGACCTGGCCGGCCTTTCTGTGACTATCATGCTGGTGGGGCCTTTGCTTGCACATGGCCTGGCAGCAGCCCTGAGTGTCCCCTTCCCAGACCCAGTGCCCATCTAGGACTGTTCTCCTCACAGGTCATACCCCAGAGCCCCGAGTCCCCACGGAGGGACCTCCGCCCTGGCATTTCAGTGCTGTGTCCGACAGTACCCACCCTGCTGGCCAGCAAAGGCCACACGCCAAACACCCTGGCCATCACTGTCAGCACCTGCGCTGCTGCCCTGAGCCCTGCCTGGGGTCCCTGCTACTGACTGGCGCTGTGCTGCAGACCCACCACGCTGGCCTCTCACTGCCTGCCACCTCACCTGACCTCAGACATCACTTTGTGGCTTCCGTGCCTTAAAGGACACAGCCCTCTCTGGTCCCTTCCTGCCTGGCCCCAAAGTGTCCCAGCTGCACAGGCCAGGTGGCCTGAGAAGCACAGATTCTGCCCCCGCCCCAGCTCACCCAGTGCCCCTTACTCCTTCCTGCATTCAAACCAAGCCCTGACCCCTGGGCCCAAGTTCCACAGCACCCCGTGAGGAAGGCAGGTGCCCTCCTCACCCTGGATGCAGCCCCCATCTTTCACTTGGGCACAGCACTGCCTCCCTTAACGGGTGTCAGTTGACATCCCTACACTGCCCACGGCCTTCTCCAGACCACAGCATGTCAACAAGCCTCCCTGGCCACTGCTGTGCTTAACGGAAGGGACACAGGCCCCAGCCTGTATAGAGCTTGTACCTTGCAGACAC